ATAAAAGAGTTGATACTGTGTGATTCTGTTTAGGGCAAGCTAAACTACTGTACAGAGATAGAAATAGAGCTCCAGTTGCAGGGTATGAGGTAGAAGAGCAAAGAACAGTCTGCAGTGATGGAGCCACTGTTGTCATGGTTCTAGGAGTGCATCAAGTGAGTTCATGTATTGTATGTACAATTGGTTTAAGAAGAAAACTACAGAAAGGGGAAGGGTCTTGTGGAATTCCTTGCTAATATTCTCTGTGTTCTTGAATAAGGAACTTAATCATTCTTCATCTATTTCATGTAGAGCAAATAGCCACATGCAGATGCTGAGTGTGGGGGTTATCCACGAACTCCTCTTTTGGCAAGAACATGTGAACCAATGCGTGCTCATACATTGGAGTTTGCTTGCATGTATCTTTGAAGGACCATTTACTGTGTTACTTCCTGTCTCTGCACATCAGTAAGATGAAGGCTGTAGAGTAGGGCAGAAGAGAGGACTGGAAGCTCAGAGTCTGTAGTCTTGAGTTTCGATAGTGTTGGGTTGCTCAGCATTAATACAAAATGTGATTTATTGCTTGTGCTTAAGTCTAGTGTTTTTAAATAAATTTTGGGTTTCCATTTTAGTTTTTTTCATTCAGTCATTCATTTTAGGGGAGCATGTGGAGGTCAGAGGACAACTTGTAGGAATCAGTTTTCTCCTTCCTCTTTGTAGGTGACAAGGGTTGAACTCATTTGGTCAGGCTTGGCTGCAGGCACCTTTATCAGCTGAGTCATCTCTCTGGCCCTTTATCTTTCCTTTAGAAATGAACATTGCTGATTGGAAGCAGAGGTAAAGTGCTTGCTGTGTAAACACGAGGATCTGAGTTAAATCCCCAGCTCCCACATAAAAATCTGGGCATGGTAGGGTGTGCTTGTAATCCCAGCACTAGGGAAGCAAAGATTGAAGATCTCTGGATCACCATGGCCAGACTTAGCCTATTGGCAACCTGCAGACCAGTGAGAGACCCTGTCTCCTGAAACAAGGTAGGCAGCTCCAAGATTGGCTTCTGGTTTTCACATACACATGTATACACACCTGCACACACATGCACCTCCGTAAACACAGACACACATACACAGACACACACACACAGAGTGGATATTGCTGATAGAACCAGTTCCATATTCCTGCATGATAACAGCTATCTGCATGTGTGTGATAGCTGTGCCTTCATAGCCATTTGTACTCTGCTTCCCATAGTCTCTATACACTTTGTTGCCTTTTCTGTTCTCTGTTGTAATAATTGAGAGAAGCTAATTCATTATTGAATTCTCACTATGTGTTAAGCCTTGTTCTAAGGTGTGATGCTCCAGGGGCATCAACCACTCAGATGCAGTACTAACTCACAGGGAATTGCAAGTAGTAATTTCTGTTCCCATCAAAAATTAAAAACCAAAGCTGGGTATGATATTTCACATATATAATCCCCGAACGCAGGAGGCAGAGGCAGGAGGATTACTATGAGTTTGAAGCCTACCCTGGCTACAGAGTGAGTTCTAGGTCAGCCTAGACTAGAGTGAGTGGCCTGCCTCAACAAAACAACAACAAATTAAAGACAAGAAAGGTACAATATTGAGAGGTATGAAAGAAGAATATGTTGTATGAATGAGTCATAGTGAAACTCATTCTTCTGTACAATTAATATACCTTATAAAGAAACCAAGTTAGAAAGACCAGAGTGCTATATATTTTAGGGAAAACAGAAGAACATATGTTTCTTTTTATAAATTAAAAAAAAAAAACCCACCTTCTTAAGAGGCCAAGTGTGTCTGTATGAAAATTACCCTGCCTTCCTCAACTGCTTACCTCAGAGATGGAGCTCCTTTCCCTTTGTGAAGTGTAAATGCCAATAAGCTGGTAGCAGCACAGGCCACATGGATTTCCTTACTTCTGTCTAGAGACTGAGACTTGGCATCCTGATCCATGTGGGAAATGGGCTGTGCTGGAGCAGTGCTGTCAGCCCTCTTCCTTCTTTGCCTATAGAGACGTGAGGGCAGTGGGGCCTGTGCTAGAGAAGTAGCTAAGGTGCTCCTGCTCCCTCTTCTCTTACCTAATAGTTTACATCTCCATTTGGTCCACTGTGCATTGGTCATAGCTGACATCTTTAGTATGACAAATCTTACTAGGTTTCGATTTTGATCTCGTGGTTAAAGCCTTCCCACTCACAGATGGGCCTTTTATGGTCATAGATGCTGAGTAGTGTGGTTCTGACTATGTTGAGTGTAGTGATCCGTTGCTTTGCTTTAAGCTTCATCGTAATTGTAGGCCTAGCAAATCCGAACTTGCTTGCCAAGTTGTCTTCAGCCCTGGCCGGAGAGGTCATCTTCTGCACCACTGCTCCCATCTGGTGGCTGTTATCTCGAATTGCAGCAGCATGACTTGCTTCAAAAAGAAGTAACTTGTCCTTCAGTGATGCTAGGTACCACGAATTAAAATGCCTTTAAAATATGCCATATACAAATTTTTGGGAAGGGGAACATTCATCAACTCTTCAGGCAAGAAAGACAAGAACTTCGATGAACAGTTTATGAGCTAATGTGTATATTTGCAAGTAATTTTTTTATTTTTAAACTTTGTGGATCCAGGGCTGTCATTTCTGGTCTTTGGCTGTTAGTGAAATGAAGGGTTACTTATTTCCAGTGAAAGAAATACTCATTTGCTCATTTAATTCAGCAGTTATATGAAGAGGTATTGTATGTTTTTTGTGAAGTGGAAGGAACCAGTTTTTGGACAGTCAGGAGGATGACACCACTCCAGGTTCTGCCTACAGCTGGTTGTGAGATTCCTAAAGCCTCTCTTAGTTTCTTTGCTCATAAAACAGATTTCTTGGAACTTAATGCTTTTTATGGTGATACTGTGCCCAGGCTAGAGCCAAATGAAATTATGAAGTATTTAAAATATCTGGCAAAGTAAATATCCTCTTGGTCTATATATAAAACAATCACGAATATAAATGGAGGGTTTGAAATATGTGCAACTACTTTGTCCAATTCTAGTAAAGTGCAAGATACATCATGGTTTCAATAATTTTTGGGGGGAAGGGAGAAGAAAAGTTAATGGTGCTACAGTATGTATATGTATATGTACTACTAGACAAGATCCGATACATATTTCTTGCATTTAATTTTTGTTGCATCTCTTAAAAATTATATATCCTAAAAGATGCATCTTGGAATTTAGGAATTGTAGGTTGGGTATGATGGTACACATTGAATGATCCTGGTACTTACCAGGGAGGAAACAGGAGAGTCACTTCAAGTCCAGCCAAGGCCACATGAGACCCTGTCTCAGAAAACAAAAGTAATTTAGGAAGAAATGGCAATGAAGAGGAAGAGAGAGAAGACTTACATTTTTGATGCTGGGTGTTCTTTTTTAAAAAGTAAGTACTCAGTCAAGTGTGGTGGTGCATGCCTTTAATCCCAGCAACTTGGTAAGCAGAAGCAAGTGTATCTCTGTGAGTTTGAGGCTAGTTTGGTCTACAAATCAAGTTCCAGGACAGCCAGGACTACACAGAGAAACCTTGTCTTGAAAAACAAACAAACAAAAAGTAAGTACTAAAGAAAAATCTACATTTAAAATTGATGATGAAATAGTTTAATGTATTGCAAGAAAATAAAAACCATGTTTTGGATAAAAATAACATAGTGGTTGGTATTGTAGATTCCATGGGAAGTTTCAATGTTTATCTAATATTGAAGAATGTAGTGACAGTCAATAGAGAGACCTGCAATCTCTGATAAATCATGATCACAATGTAGGTTTGGAAACGTTTGAGTCTAATAACATATTTTTACAGAGTGATGCATGTATTTTGTGAAAATAAGGAACAATAAGGCTTTAGTGGTTGCAGGGAATAGATTCCTACCCAGGTTAGCTTGAATAGTTACTATAAAGCTAGTAAGTGCTAAGAACATCATCAGACAGGCACTGAAGTGTCACTGAGCCTTAGGGAAGTTAAAACGGTACCAGTGAATCAGTCCTGAGTCCTGGTTCTCAGAGGCCTAAGATCTCTCTATTGGCTGCTTTTCGGTTTGGTTTCTATCAACTTTACAAATGGCTGCTAGCTCAGTACTATATTACAACCTCAACTTAAGTTCTCATACTGATCTCTTCCTCTGTGTTCACTTCTATCCAATATGTGCCAACTCTGTGCAAAGAATAGCTTAGTGGTGTTTTCGCTACACAAGATTGATGAGCTAAGCGATAAAGGTATACAAGGCAGGTGGTTGGGCTTTGTGTTCCATGGAACTGCTGTTTCTTCCAAGACTTTGACCTGGGACTGCTTTGCCACTCTTGTCTATCTGATCCTCAAGGCAGGCAGTGCTTTGGGAGTTAGGTGGGAATTAGGAGTTCTAAGATTATGTGGTACTCGAAAAATGAACTAATTTAGCACATTTGAGAATACCAGTTAAAATTACCTAAATGTCTGTTAATGAATTGTGAGCTGTCTAAAGGAAAGTAGAGTGTTGATCAGTGAGTGAGTCCTGATGTCCTACTATAGAGCAGCTCACACACACTGGGTCTTATATCTCAACAGCACATGTAATGACAGGTGCAGGCGTGTTCAGGGTCTCCTATAAACACTTGAACCGGAGGTGGAGTGAGGAGGGGAAGAAGGAAGGAAGGAGATCCCTGAAATAAAGTGACAACTATTTATGTTAACAAGCACTAAAAGCACTAAATTTTCTAGCCTCTCTGATAAGAAAGAAAGTACTGGGCTTAATTAAAAAAAAAAAGTCTAGTAATTTCTTTGGAAGATAGCTGCTGTTTGTCCTTGATTCTGGGTTAGATGTGCAGGACTTTTCTGACTCTGGCTGTAAGTTCCAAGAGTGTAAGAATGCTCTTTAGGCCACTCTGCTTTGAAGACTGGCTGATAGTGGTATCAGTTCCATGTGAGGTAACAGCAGCAGCCTGAGTTCCTGACTGACTTTGCAAATTACTCAAAAGAGTTTCTCTGTGTGTTCTTCTCACAGGTGGATTTGCTCTTGTCTTTCTGGTGAGAACAAGCAATGGGGTGAAATGTGCCTTGAAACGTATGTTTGTCAACAATGAGCATGACCTCCAGGTGTGCAAGAGGGAAATTCAGATCATGGTAAGAGTTTGTGGATTATGACTGCTTCTTCTTCTTCTTTATTTAAACAATATATATATATATATATATATATATATATATATATATATATGTATTTCTTCTTTTTTTTTTTTGAGACAGGGTTTCTCTATGTAGTCCTGGATGTCCTGGAACTCACTCTGTAGCCCAGGCTGGCCTCAAACTCACAGAGATCTGCCTGCCTCTGCCTCCCGAGTGCTGGGATTAAAGGTGTACACCACCACTGCCCAGCTTAAACCTTATATATTTTTAAAATAGTATTTTCATTAATTTCTTGAGAATTTCATGCAATATGTTTTGATCATATTCATCTCCTTGCCTCAGCTCTTTCCAGATCCTCCCCCACCTCTCTACTTACTTGACTTCTTATGTTCTCTCTTAAAACCCACTGAGCCCAGTTTTGTGTTGTCGGACTGCTCCTAGGTGCGGAGCCTGCCCTGAAGTGTGGTTGATATACCAGGTGTCACACCACTGAAGCCAATGACTTTTCCTCTTCCAGTGATAATCAAATACTAATAGCTCCTCCACTAGGGGTGGCTTCATGCCTGCCTCCTCCACTAGGGGTGGCTTCATGCCTGCCTCCTCCACTAGGGGTGGCTTCATGCCTGCCTCCCCTCCGTCATGCTGGGATTTTATCTGGCTTGAGTTTTTGTAGGTCTTGTGCATAATGCTGTAACTGATATGAGTTCCTGTGTGCATCTGCCCTGTTGGGGAACTTCCTGTCCTTGAAGTCTGGCTCTTAAAATTTCTCTGTCCCAAACCTTAAGGGAAGAGGTGTGGTACAGGCATCCCATTAGGACTGAACACCCCAAAGTCTCTTCTTATTCTTTGCACATTGACCAATTGTGAGTCTCGGCGTTAAACGCTGTCTACTGCAAGAAGTTTCTCTGATGAGGGTTGAGCAATGCACTGATCTGTGAGTTTAGCAATAAGTCATTAGGAGCCAGTTTTATTGCTGTGTCAATTTAGCAAAATAAATAGTAGTGGATTTTACCCTCAGGTCCATGACTTACTTACTGTGCCTGTTTCTTAAGACAGGTATATTATGTTGCCCTAGGAAAATCACAGGGCAGGGATGACATCCTTCCTTGAGCTGGCAGCAAGCTCTTGCACAAGGTAGGACCAATAACCAGAGCGTATACGCCTTGATCACCCTCAATTGGAGATTGAGGGAAAAGGAGCTTATTGGGAGAACTGACTAGTTTAACTCAGGAGCATAGTTTGGGCCCTTGGGAAAGCATATAATCTGGAAAGCCCACCTCTGTAGGGAGCATTTCTCTCTTTGTGCCTTCGCGCAGTTGCTAGCCCCTTGTTCTGATCACCAGCCCTCTGAGTCCTTCTGCATCCTGTGAATATGTCCTGCCCCAACTTTTGATTTTTACAGTTTTTTCCAGCTGGAGCGCTGCCTGTGCTTTGGCCACAATGTCAATACTTCATAATGCTTTGTGAATCCATTTATAGAAGTTCATGAATAGGCAGAATTCATTGTGGCATTAGAAGTCAGAAAATAAGTATTTAGGTTGGGAAATGGGCCACGAAATGTATTATTGGAACTGTCTGGGTTATGGAAGTGTGTTGTTTTGTGTAGTGCTTACAAAGAAATCTATAACTGTCAGAACTCAAACACATTAAGATCTGTATGTTTTTATTTTGTAAATTATACATTAACTTAAAAAACAAAGAAACTGGGCCGGGCGGTGGTGGCGCACGCCTTTAATCCCAGCACTCGGGAGGCAGAGCCAGGCGGATCTCTGGGAGTTCGAGGCCAGCCTGGACTACCAAGTGAGTCCCAGGAAAAGGCGCAAAGCTACACAGAGAAACCCTGTCTCGAAAAACCAAAAAAAAAAAAAAAAAAAAAAAAAAAACAAAGAAACTTACTAAGGAGAGATGGCTTGGCACTTAAGAGCATGTACTGTTCTTCTAGAGGATCCAGGTTGGATCCCAGCACCCACATCACAACTACCTTTGTAATTCTAGCTCCAGAGAATCCAATGCCTCTGGTCTCTCAGAGTGCCTGCATGCACGTGCACGTAGAGACACAGAGACACATAATTAAAAATAAAGCAAATCTCTAAAAAACATACTAATTTGTGTAGAGTTAGATTTCTATCATTATTAAAGAGTCTGTATCAGAAGTATATGCTGACATGTTTATGATGAAATGGAGCATTACTGTGAAAACAGTAACTGGATTTAAAAGAAAGATTGACCAGGGTTTGATAATCAGAGCAAAGTGACAACTTCTTGAGAGCTTGTTAGTTGTTATTGGTTGTTTTTGCTTCTGTTTGACATTGTGCATAATAAAAACCTCTACATATGTACCTTGTTATTTTTGGTATTTCCACAGTTTTTGTTTATACTAATTATATTGCTTTACCTGTTATGTTTTTAGGCAGTTCTGCCATCACAATGTGAGTTATTTAAAATCAGAAACTTAATAGTTTGACACACCACTTAACATGTAGCAAACAGTTCAATAAAAGAGTGAAATGCATGTCTGCATGGCTGCAGAGATGGATCCAGATGTTCACCTGGAGGTGACTCCTTTAGGCTCCAGATTTTAAAGCCTTGGTAAAGAGCAAAAATGAAAGTTAGGTGTGGTGAGAGCCTAAAGTCAAAGTATTTAGAAATGACCTAATACCGTCGAACCAAGGCTCCAGATCACACGGCTCCGTCTGCAGTGGGCCTAAGGTTCTCGGCTTGCCCTGTCTCCTCTACATAGGAGGTTCCTGGATATTTCTTATGCCCCCACCCCTCCTCCTTCTCCTTCATCTCTTCCCCCGTCCCCGCCGCCGCCAGCTTCTTCTCCTTCCCTTTTCATCCCTCCCCGATTGCTTGCTCCATGCTTGCTCAACTGTCCACACTTTAGTTCCTGTCTCTGCTGCTGCTGTTTCTTCTGCCCAGAATGCCCTTCCCATTCATTGTTTTACTTCTGTTAGAAAAGCAATCTCGTTCTTTCATTTTCTCCCATTCATTTGGAAACAGAAAAGCTTGCTTTTGCTAGTAGAGAAACCAAGAAGCACAGGCCTGAAAACTCACAATGGGTCTGATTAGGAGTTTAGTTGTATGGGATCAGTTTTGGTCCAGGGATGCGTTTACTGTGACAGTTTGTTTTTGTTTTTAATTTAGTTTTTATTTTTTCAAAGCTAAGTCAGCTAGGTAACAAGAAAACATCAAACAGCCCTACACCATTCTCCTGTGCCATCTCAGGGTCCTCGAGGTCATCATGGCTGCTGATTTCCTTGAGTGTACTTCCCAAACCATGCTAGTTCTTGGTTTTTACTTCATTGCAGGCGTTGTTCCCATTGGAAATAAGGATTTAACTCTTCTGTTTTACAGCCCACCCCTCAGCATTAGCTTTACTCTCAACCTGAATTCACTGGAATCCCCCCCCCCCCCATCAGTTTGGGCAGTAGGTTGGCTGCGATCATGTTGGTTCTCACACTGCTGTGGAGGGACCGCTCCTCCTAAGCCTGCTGCTGGGCTGTGAGCATTGCCGCTTCCCACACAGCCGTTCTCACCAGGGCTTGTACTGTCCCTCCTCGGCTCTCAGTGTTCTGTGTATATTCCAGCAATGGGGTCCCGGACTCCCCTCCGTTATGCAAGTCATGTTTTAAATGTGCAGATGTAGCATTTGTCTGCTGTAACACTCTGAGGAGATGTCTAGGGTTCCTGACCTGACGGACCCCAAGCTGGTGATGGACTCTTGCTGGTGTTCCTGGAACCAGCTTGTTCTTGTGGAATTCCCTCAGCTCCTTCCCCTTAGCTTCACTTCTGGTCAGCCTCTCACCCTTCTGCTTCACCCCTACTTCTGTGGAGGTGGTCACTCAACACTTTCCTCTTATGGATTGTGCTTTTGGGGTCAAATCGAATAAGTTTTTGTTTAGCTCTCAATTCCGAAGACTTTCTCCTATTTTTTCTCTAAAATTTTACAGTTTTACACTTTATATTTAAAGACGGTGAACCATTATATAAGCTGTGAGACTTGTTGATGTTCTGCTCTTTGCTTATGGATGGCAAATTGTTTGAGTATCAGTTCTGAAAAGGTATTCCCTGTTCTGCTGGTTGCTAAATGTCACTTGAAGTGGAATTGTAGCTTAGTGGTAACATATTTGTCTCTATATACAAGGCCCTGGGTTTGACATCTCCCACCCCCACTGCCCACAGGAACTTAAATTGTAGGGGCCATTACTGGACTTTCTCTGTCTGTCCTCTTAGACACTGTATGCATCTTGTTTCTGTAGCTCCATAGCAAATCTGTTTGTTTGAGACAGAGTTGCTCGCTGTAGCCTTGGGTTATCTTAAACTTTGTAGCCAAGGTTGGCCCTGAACTTCTGATCCTTTTACCTCCATCCACCCAGTTCTGGTATTATAGGTATATGCTACTATTCCCAGCCATCAAATACGATTTTCTCACATTTCCCCAGAATGTTTTAAAATATTCTAGTCCACATAGTGTATTAGTTTTTTTTCTCATCAATGTGGCAAAATGCCCAGTAAAAGCAGCTTAAGGCAGGATTTGGCTCACGGGTTAAGAGCAGTTACAGTGGGCGTGGACGGGAAGGCATGGTGGTAGGAGTATGAGGCAGCTGGTCGCATTGTGTGTGCAGGCAGGAAGCAAAGGGAGACAGCAAGTGGGGCCAGTTCTAAATACTCAAGGCCCGTCCCTAGTGACCTGCTCTCTCTAGCAGGGCCCCACAGCCTTACAGAGCAGCACCTCCAGCCGGGAGCTAAAGCCTGTGGGGACATTTTACGTGCAAACCACAACACATCACCTTTTGTGTACATTTTGGAATAATGTGGAATTTTGATGGGAGGTACATTAAACCTGTATTTCTATTTTGGGAGAACTGACATCTTTTCTGTTTGTGATCTTCCAATAGATGAACATGGTCTGCATCCCCATTCACTTACATCTGTGCTGTCTTTTACTACCATCATGTACTTCTTGTACACAAACTTGTAAATGCTCTTAGACATATGGCAAAGATTTTTAATTTGTTTTTAGTGATTTTAAATCATTTTATATATCTTCTTCTCTAGTTCTAGGCCTTACCCTGCATGTTATACCTCCAAATTACAGCCTCTGATACTATATTTCAGATTTTATTTTTAAATCCATAGGTTTAGTGCTAGTATTTAGAAATAGTGAATTTTTATAGTATGTCCTATCAGTTCACCAAACTTGCAATGAGGGATGGCTTTCTTGCCTGTAATTTTCCCCCTTTATAGCATTATTACAATGGCTGGAACTTATAATACCATGTTGAATAAGAATGACACATTTATCTTTGCTTTGTTCCCAATCTTAGTAGGAAAGCATTCAGTCCTTTGTCACTAAATATAAGGTTGACTTTAGTCTTTTATACATTTTAAAACACCAACATGACTTGTCATATGTGGTAGAACCTCCATCAAGATGTTAACTCTCATGTAGGAGAACTCTAGGGGAAAGAATTCCTCGTGGTCAGCAAAAGCAGCTGGGAGGTACATGCATTTTGAAGGGATTACAATGTCCCTCATGATGCTGTGGAAGAAGTCATTGTACACCCCTCCCAAGAAGAGTAAGCAGATGAGAAAGCAAGTTAAGTTAGCTGTCCTAAAATACCTTAATGTGGATGAAAATGGCAACAATAGTCCCTTTGTAAGAGTACTCTTAGTCAGTGTGGTACTGGAGTTTTTGTGGTTACCATTAAGTTTATGTTAGTCTACATTTAACAAGTAACTTATTTAAAGTAGCAGGAGACATGCTTGTCTTTTTGTTTCCATTGGAAGATATAACAACTGCCTTGGATGACCGAACAATTTTTACAACTGAAACAATGGATTGACTCAAAAGAGTGAGATCGTATATGTGGACTTTTAGTTCATTTTAACCAGCTTTACCAGCATGGTTCAGTGAAGGCAAAGATTAGAAGCAGTGTGAGTAGAAAAAGACATAGGTGTTTCAAAGGTCAGTTAGCGCAATATGAATGTATACATACTTAGAGTGATGTGGCTGACAAAATACAGAGCAAGCCATTTTTGGCTCTCTTGATGACATTGCAGAGGTGGCAGTGCTGGTTTACTCCATGAATCAGACTAGACCTGCAGTACTTTATTCATCTTCTGGGGGCATGCCTATTCAAAACAGCAAACAAATACCACAATAAAGCAGCACAGCTATAAATGAAGAGGCAGCCAGAGTGGCCTCAAAAGACACACCTTTAGTCCCAGCACTCGGGAGGCAGAGCCAGGCGCATCTCTGTGAGTTCGAGGCCAGCCTGGTCTCCAAAGTGAGATTCAGGACAGGCACCAAAACTACACAGAGAAACCCTGTCTCGAAAAACCAAAAAAAAAAAAAAAAAAAAAAAAAAAAAAAAGAAAGAAAGAATGTCCCATTACCGCCTTTTGAAGAAACCGTTCTTACTTGATTGAGTTGTCTTGGCACCACATAAGAAGTAGTTGATGTAAATGTCCAGTTGCTGCCGAAGGGGTCTTGTTCCAGAAGGTGAATCAGTGAGCTGTTCCTTCGAAGGTTAAAAGCTCATTAGGGTGGAAGCTGACTTGTTGACTGATGAACTTGCTCTTTATTTCCTTGTGAAGTGGCTGCAGTCTACTGAGCAGCCAGCATCTGTGGACTAACCACACTTGGAGTGCTTCTATAGGACTTTGCTAAGGTAGGTGCCACTGAGCAGCAGTACGGCACACAGCTGGTCCTGTCCAGGGTTACCAGGTCAGAATCTGCTTTACAATGTGATCTCTCAGTGATCATAGTCCTATTCAAATCTGAGGTGCAGTGCTACAGAGTAGGACTGCCTGTAGGTGACATTTTTAAAGGTTTATTCAGTAAGTACAAGACTAATTGAGTTAAAACATGTCCTAGTTTGATTTTCTTTTACTCTCACAGAACACCGACCAAAAGCAGCTTGAGGGACAAGGGACTTATTTCATCTTACACTTTCAGGTCACAGTACATAGAGAAGCCAGAGCAGGAACCTGGGGGTAGGAACTGAAGCAGAGACCATGGAGGACTGCTACTTACTGACTTGCTCCCAAGCTTACATTCAGCTAGCTTTCTTATACAGCTCAGGCCTATCTGTCTAGGAGTGGTACTGCCCACAGTGGGCTGTCCCCCACATCAACTAATCAAGAAAATGCCCCACAGATATGCCCGCAGTCCAACCTGATGGAAGCAGTTCTTCAGTTGAGGTTCCTTCTTCCTGGGTAACTCTAGTTTGTATCAGGTTGACAATAAAATCTAAGCAGTGGGCTGGAGAGATGGCTCAGTGGTTAAGAGCACTGACTGTTCTTCCAGAGGTCCTGAGTTCAACTCCCAGCAACCACATGGTGGCTCTCAACCATCTGTAATGAGATCTGGCGCTTATAATAAATAGCCATCTTTTTTTTTTTTTTTAATCTAAGCAGTGTGGTAGGGGAGAATAAATGTTGGTGTAGGAAGAAAAGCATCTTGGACTTCTTAGGTAGCAGAAGCTCAGCAAGGTCTCCTAGAACCGAGGGCCAACCCTCAGTTTCTTTCACCACAGACTAGAGATGCGCTTGCTTGCCTAGAAGAGTTAGAAAAGAGATGGAGAGTTATGAAGAGGGGAATGGAAGTGGAAAACAAAGCCACACCAAGCATCCCTTTCCAAAATACAAACTTATCTCAGGTATTAGAATGGCCTTCCTTCTATTAAGAGAGTCTTCCAGACTCTCGGGCATGCGTGCTCACATGTACACACCCACGTGTAGACATATACACATAACTTTAAAAAGAAGTTTCTTTGCAGTTCTTCCTACTTTTTGGACTGTGTAAATAGAAATGAGTTCTAGAAAGGTCCACAATAAGTAGAGGGAAGGATAGGGTCTGAATGCTTTCTGTGTTATAAAGCTTGAGCTCTGGAGACTGTTTTTTGACCTCTCTATCTTGGATCTGTGACCCAAGGCAGGTTCCTTGAAGCTTTTGCCTCATCAAGTTTCTTTCTCATCCTATCTTGAAGATGACTTTGTTCTATACCAAAAGCAAAACCATAGCTCTGAACCTACTTGAATTCCCCTTTCCTTTTTTGTGCAATGTGTAGCAAACACCTCTGCCCAGCCCCCCTTTGCAGGAAAATCAATCACTCTGTGATTCGCCCCTTAGCAGTAATCCTAACCCCATCCCTCTGACCTGTAGGATGGTTCCACCAGCTTTCCTTGTCTCCTGTATCTTACTGCTTTCATTCTCCAGTGTGGTTTTCACAATTCCTGGCAATTCTTCCTTTGAGGCAGCCTCTTCCTTAAACACAGATGTTCCGAGAGTAGTTCACGGACACTGCTCAACTCAATCTGTTCTTATCCCATCCCATCTTTTCTCCAAAATTCTTCTCCCATCAGTCTCCAGAAGTTTCCCGTGGGCACCTTCCTACCATTGTCTGTTTCTCGTGGGGCTGCTGTTCTGTCAGCAGTGCTTCCTAACCCACTGCACAGAAAGAGTGCATGTTACCATTGATGCTGGGGATGCAAGTGTGTGCCTGATACCTTGAGGCTTCTTCCTGTGCTGAAGCTGTCATTTTGAGCATTGGAATCTGCACTTAGGGTAGTCAGGAACAGCTTTTCCCTGGACTTGGAGAAGCCCAGCCAGATCTACAGGAGCAGTTCCACCATCGTACTCGACCACTCCAGAGCCTAAGCTTGAGTCAAACACACAGACTCGTAGAACCTTTTCTTTTCTACACCCTCCCTTAAGCCTTTAAAACAAAAGTAAAATAATATATTACAGTTAATTTACAAATCCTAATTTTGCCTTGCATTTGTATAAAAATCACAATGCCCAGTTTCCAAATGTTTTCTTTCCTGAACTTAGTTTTTAAAGATCTTGGGTTTCAGAGTCATTATCATAGATATCCGTTGTGTGGACTGAGTGTTTTAGCATCATCACCATAGATATCTGCTCTATGGCCCAAGGTATGAGGTGATTTCCAGTGCCTGGTTAGTGCTCAGTAAGTACCTATTGGAGGGATGAAAACCCATGAGCATCAGCCCTGAGAGCTGATAAGCAGTTCAGCTGATGCTGCATCTTCTATCTCAGTTGGCCATCTGGAAAGGCTTAATTATGAGCAAAATGCTGGGTCTGGTCTAGATGCTATTGTAGTCTCTTCAAATTTTGCAAGGCAGTTTTTCTTTTCAAAGTCAAGTTAGAGCATGTTCAGAAATGTGCCCGCTTTCCTTTCTGACTTCATGCAGGCTTCCCAGCTAAAGCCCTTGCCATTCCTTTGTTCAGGGAAGACACTGTTTTGGAAAGAACTCTGTTAAATGCCGCAGGTAGTAAATCTTTCTTCACCCCTGTCCTCCCACACATACAAAAAAGAGAAAGAAAATAAAAATTCAAGCTGAATTCACTTTTGCCCCAAGTAAACAGGAGAAACATAGATTTCTTTTTCGGTCTTAGAATTTTACCCATTTCAGTAGTTGTTGTAGTTTTCATCCTCTGCCGATTTCTGGATGTTATAGGAGTCCTTCTTCTGAGTCAGATGGAGCACTAATGCAGTGAGCAAGTGGGTGTTCTGTGTGAGGTTCATTCTAGAGCCTTGGCTCTAGAGATCGCTGTGGTCCAGCAGGACAGTGGAATTGCTCTTGGAGATATGACTGGGCTTCTCAAAGACCACCAGAAACTTATTCTTGACTGTCACTCTCCCCTTCCCATGCTGTTAGTGTTGTCTCTATGTATTTAAATTGTTTGTGCTAGTGGAACCAACTGACTAATTCTGCCCCTACTGTGTCTATAACTGACAATGTACTTCTCCACTCTTGTTCACAGAGGGACCTATCAGGGCACAAGAACATTGTGGGCTACATTGATTCTAGTATCAACAATGTAAGCAGTGGCGACGTATGGGAAGTTCTCATTCTCATGGACTTCTGCAGAGGTGTGTGTTGACTTCACTGAAGCTCTTGTTTCTGGCACTTTAATGGTCAGGGGCATGGGGATCATTTCACTCACTGTTCATTGCACTCTGAAGATAATGCTCTGGTTTCACAGATGGGCAAGCTATGCAGTCCATTGCTGTTCTTGGTTATTTTCATGAGTACAAGGGTTATGGTACAAAGAATTGAAAGCAACAGATAATTCCAGACCCTGTCTCCATTAGGTATAGAAGGGTTTGGCTGTGCATATAAATGAGACCACATGAAAATGAGGAAGAAGGTGTTCTTTATGAGGGCTTAACAATCAGTGAAGACATATAATAAAAACCAGTATGGAGCTTACAGAAACTGCAGCTTCCCTAGCCCTTCTTCACTCCCACCACTGCCCCCGTCCTGTGATGGAGTGAAAGAACCCCTTTTGTCTGTGAAAGTGGCCCTCTTGTGCTCTGGGGCTGTAATACCTGGTAAAGCTACATTCAGGTGCTGCTGCTTCCAACTGTAAATAGATGAAAACTTGAAACTTCATGCATTTGTCCTGAGAAATCCAGACTGTAGCACAAATGTGTTGAGTTGATGACATCCCATGCACTCATCGTTTGGAGATTTGGCTCTTGTCACCCGAGCAGCTGACATTATAGGTTTGGGCCATTGCCTTACCGTTTGGTGCCCTGTTTTGTAATTGCCCTTAGTGTCACTAACATTTTCTGACTTTAAAGATATTGTCCATAAATTGTTCTTATCCTATAAATGTGACATTAACCGTTAGTTTTGGCTTTTGTTGACTATTAATCTGATTTTGTAGAATGCCACCAAATTTGAAATTGACAATTTATTCCCCTTTGACCATTCCTTTTTTGCATAGGACATTTTAGATACCAAGCAGTAGGAGGACTTGGGTCTGGATAATTTTATTTAAAATTGGTAACCATTCTTTTGTTGCCAGAGAGACCAAGTTCCCCCAGAGTTAAAGACTTCAAAGTGGAAACAGCCCCATCTTTTTCCTGCTCCCTGGATCTGTTGTGCTGTCTCATTTTTGCCAAAAGACATGACAGAGGCTGTGGCCTCGTCTTCTACACCATGGGGACGTGATTACTAGGCAGCAGTAACTGACTGTGATGTCAGTTCTGCTTCTAATCTCAAGGATACAATGAGGGCAGTTCACATCTGTGTGCTTAAAAAAAAAATCTGCTTTTGATGCATCAGAGGAGACATTGGGTTGTAAGAAAACAAATCCCAAGCAGAAACTTGAGACATCTACAGTTTAATGCTAGCTTGGCCAGTGATCCACTTCTGTCTGGACAGCTGTCAGTGCCTAGGTCCAAGTGATGAATATGCCTGTTAATATCCTTTCCCTTGCTCTGTACCTGTCTCAGGAGGCCAGGTGGTAAACCTGATGAACCAGCGTCTACAAACAGGCTTTACAGAGAATGAAGTCCTGCAAATATTCTGTGACACCTGTGAGGCTGTTGCCCGCCTACATCAGTGCAAAACTCCTATTATCCACCGGGACCTGAAGGTAACAGATTGATTGCTTGTGGAGTGTGTTTTTACTGAGTGTTTCTGTCTGTCCCAGGGATGGAGCACGTATTGAGGGGTAGGAAAGAAGTGTAAGACATAGTTCCTAATTCTGGACTCCCATTGAAGTCGGGGGGGGGGGGGGGGGGGGAGAGAGAAAATCCAAAGAAAAAGGACAGGTATCAACTTTGTTAACGAACCCCCAGAATTTTTCAACTTTCAAATGCCCGAAGTCATAGGTTTTTATTTTTATTTCTGTATTCCTCAATTTTTCAATGGTCTTCAAAATTAATGTTAATTTAAGTATCTTATAAATAATGTTGCTTACTTTTTATTACACACACATACACACACACACACACACACACACACACACACACACACACACACACACATACACACACACGGTTATTGTTGTTACTACTAGGATTAAACCCAGGGCCTTGCACATGCTAGGCAAGTACTGTACCACTGAATTATATCCCCAGCCCTCTTTCATATTTTGAAAAATTAATTAATTATTTTTAATAATTGGTCCTGATTACCATCACATTGCCTTGTGCCTTTCCTGTTGAAGTCACATGACAGCATTTGCACAATGGACTTGGCACCTGATTAGGGTTGAGCTTAACATTTATTGACCACCTGTGTGCTAAATATTCTACTGAACTTTATGCATACTGTTTTCTTAGACATTCTCCATTACCTTTTACAGGTGAGGAAACTAAGCAGCAGAGAGGCTGTGTGTCTTGCCTACATTCTTTTTTTTTTTTTTTTTTTTTTTGGTTTTTCGAGACAGGGTCTCTCTGTGTAGCTTTGCGCCTTTCCTGGAACTCACTTGGTAGTCCAGGCTGGCCTCGAACTCACAGAGATCCGCCTGGCTCTGCCTCCCGAGTGCTGGGATTAAAGGCGTGCGCCACCACCGCCCGGCTTTACATTCTTATAAATAGGAAACAGTAGTGTCAGAATTTAAAGCCAGCCCTTTGTGTGAGATTTCATATTATTCTCTGCCTCTATACCACCATGCAGGTGATGGCAGCAGAACTGTAGAGCATAAGAAAATTGCTTGACATTGCCAAATGCAAAGGATACTTTGTAGTATTTGTCTTAGTCTACCTGCTGCATTTGACCCCTTCAGTACCCTGTCTTCCCTGGACCTCTGAGGTATCATGTTCTCTCTAGCTCTTCCTGTTCAAGCTCCTTAGCTTGTTCTTCAGATTATTTGGCCTCTCTGAGCTGTGGTTCTGTCGTCTGTAAAATATAGATAGCAATGTCTACTGTTGAACTGTGTGAGCCTGGGCTAGCCTGGGTGGGGCCTGCTTATTTACAGGCAAAACTGAAGAAAGCCCCTCTTGCCCTGCCTAGCACGAGTGTGGCCTCTTTTTCCCTTTCCTTACAGGATATGATCTCAAAGTGTTCTTAGTCCTTAGGCTGTTTCTGTCCTTAAAAATAATCACAATAGAAGTACTATGCTATGGAAGAGTTCTCTTCAGATGCTGTTGTAATGCTTCAATTACTTCCTCTCAGTTTTTATGTTCATTTCTTTGAGAAAGATAAAGGTCATCATTGCAAACCATGGGGTCAAATCTGGGAAGACCACCTATTCCAGCCTTTATTACTTGCCAGTGCAGAGTCCTTGCCAGAGAAACCATGACTGCTGCCCCAACGGGCTAATTATGTTATCAGGTCAGAATAGAGACAGAAGTTGTTTTTCTTGTTTTCTTTTTTAAAAATTTTGTTTTGTTATGTTATTTTGTGCTAGTTGTCCTTGCACTTAAGAGAGGGCAAGAAAGAGTTCAGGATGAACAAATATATTAAGGTTGAAAAATCATAGATGTCACTTTTCTTGTCACAGAAGAGACTTTGATCTCGTGGAGTATAGTAGGGTAAGGGCTCTTACCCTAAATTTTAAAACCAGGGTTTGAAGATGTGTTCTTCTAACCCTCCACATTTCTCAGAGGTATTAAATTCTCTGAAATGCCTCAGTGCCAAGCTGTTTTGCGTAACGCTGAGGTAAAGAGAGGCCAGTGAGAGGTAGCTTTTCAGGTCCCTTAGCAAAGACTCTGTGCAGAATTTGGAAGTGACAGCTTTCATAAGGCTCTTAAGCTGTTAGGCTGGGAAATCAGGTCAGTGGCTTGAAACTCCGGAAGAACTGAAGTACTGAACAGCAGTAAGCAGTGGTGTTATGGTTTGGATCTGAAGTGCCACCCTCGGGCTTTTGTTCTGAATGCCTTTTCCCCAGCTGGTAGGGCCTTTAGGAGGTAGGGTCTAGCTGACGGAAGTAGATCCCTAGGGATTTTTAACAGGTATCGCCTGGGCCCTGGTTTCAGCCACTCTCTGCTTCCTGGTAGGTTCACTGTGATGTGATGCAGGCTACTATGCCTTCCCCTGTGGATGGATGAAAATACCCCGAAATAGTGAACCAAAATAAATCTTTTCTCCCTTAAGTTGTTCTGCCAGACCACAGTTCTGTGGTCATAGCAATACAAGGGTGACTGATACAAATGGCAACCAGCCACAGGCTTGTGTCCTCGGGCCTTTGCCTGAGCATGTGACTGTTCTGTCTCTTTGTCAGTGCTCAGAAGTGTGTGAGTGCTAGTCGGTCTCTCCCTCACTAATCTCTTGTAGCTTATTACCTTCCCTCTTCTCCTTTCCATCGCCATTTGCCCTTGCTTGACCTATTCCTCTTCCCTCATTGTCTGCTTTCTTTTATTCTTTCTCTGCAAAGCTGACGTTCCTAAAATGGTTGTTTTCTTGAGCTCTTGAAGTTAAAACATCCCAAATGCCTCCTAAGTAGTCTTTCTCAGTCTCTCTTTGTCTGTCCTCTGTCTGCCCCCTTCCTTCTCTCTTAACCAGCCTGAAGTGTCCATGCTCTTTAACTGCATGCTGCACATCAGCATGGTGGCTGAGTGTGGTCTCAGAAGTCAGACAGCCTGGTGTAAATCCTGCCCTGCCAACCTAACCCCAGGAAAACTGAGTCCTTGACTGGCTTATCTTTTTCCATCTGTTAAGGGGGACAGCAAAGCTTAATAAGGATTTCATGGCCACTGTAAGTGAAAGTGCATAGGGTACCAATTGTCTGCCACGTGGTACTGAGTCCAGTATTGGCAGTAATGTCACTCTTGCCTCAGTACTTTATTCCTGTGCCTAATTTTACCTCTTAAATGCATGACCTCTTCCAAAGCCACACATATCTCATCTCCCCAGAAGTGACAGCACTGTCCTATAATTGCCAGCTTAGCTCTGTGCTGGACCAGCTGCATGAGCTTACTCCTGTTCATGAAACCCCTTAGGCATGTGCCCATCTCCAGGCCTTGCTGCGACTTCTTTCTCAGAATGCTCTGTCCTATATGGGCCACGGCTGCAGCTTCTCATTCTGGTCTCCTTATTTGAGAGGCCTTCCAGGAATGTCATTTGAAGTGGCATTCCTTTTCAGTTTACCTATATTTAACCAGCAGGGATTTTTTTCATAATATTTTCAATACCAGACAACTATAATTATTTTCTTATTCCCACTTGGATTTTGAGCTCCAGAAAGGACTAAATTTTGCTTTTCTACAACTGTATCCTTGGACCTAGAAGAGTACTTGACATATTGTAGGAATTCAAGCATGTTTCTTTCATAAGTGAATGGCAGTAATATCTTATATTTGTCAGGGAACTTACAGTTTATTTTGACATATATTCCCTTACTTGTAACAGTAGTGGAAATGTTATCAGCCCCACTTCGCAGATAAGAAACAAGCCAAAGGAGACTTGTAGATTTAACTAAGGTCAAACATCAAAAATACCCTTGAAGTCTTCCACCCTGAGTCCATGTTGAGTGCTTTGGTGGTGGTGATGATAGAGAGTAGCCAGTAGTGGCTAGGCTGGCCCAGGAGGGTTTCACAAGACAGTCTGAGGACGAGTGGAGAATGCAGTGGTGCCAACAAGCAATTTCACCTTGAGCAGTTTCTAACCCTCCCTTCAGGTGGGCAGAGTAGCTGGAACAGACGACAGTTCATTTCAAGCCAACAATGTGCCTCGTCTTACTCTGCTTTGCTTAATTCCTCATTCCCTAGTAGTGAGTTTTGATGCTGTAATTACTATGCTATTTATTATGAATTAATTTTCAGTTTTCTAGATAGATGTTCATTCCATATTACAAGTATAGAAACTGACTTGGAAAAGGATAGGACTCATAAACTAGGAGAAGCATGATTTCACATAGGTCCTATAAGGTCCATGAGGCTGAGAGAAAAATCATCTCTAACCAATACTGATCAAGTGATTTCACAGAATTTAAGGATGCCTGCTGAAGTACTGCACTGAAGTAGCATCTGTAAGGAATTCATAGGCTAATACCCCACCCTCACCCAAAGGATTTGTACTGTACTGGGGAAGAAAAACATAAATATGTCAGTAGTCAGTTACAAATCCGTAGAAGAATTCTGACTCATCAGTCAGATCAAACATTGGTAAACTTTGCCAGCAGAAGGCCAGATAGGAATGTTTTAGGCATGCTAGTCATAGTCTCATTGAATTGCTCAACTCTTCCATTGGAGAAGCAGTAGCTATATTATACTAGCCAGATTTCATTGCTGTGACAAATACCTGAGAAAAACAAAAGGAAGAAAAAATATTTCGGTTTGTAGTTAGGAGTTTTCAGTCCAGGGTCATCTAATCCATCGCTTTGAGTCTGAGGCAAGGTGGAATGTCATGGTGGGTACATACTTTGGAAACAGAATGAAGGGACTGGGGACTAGATAGAGCCTTTAAGGGCACATAACTGGTAATCCATCTCCTAAAAGCCCATTTTATATGTGAACTCATATGTGGACCAGTTCATTAATGAAATCAATACATTCATGATCCAGTCACCTATAAATGATTGAATGTACTAGCTGTGGACCAAGATTTTAACACAGGAACATTTTGATGGACATTTTGTACATAAACTGCCACATGTAGACTGCAGAATAAGTAACCTGTGGGCATGACTAGGTCTGGCCTGAAGGCCTTTCCATCCCCTCCTGTGGGTAGTAAATTGTGTGTATGTTTTAGGGTAGTCATGGAAGGTTTGACCAGCAGAGTTTTTATGAATTGTTGATACTTGGCTAATGGAGAGTGAGCAGTGGAGTAAAGGGTATTAGATAATACAAAGAAAACGTAGACAACCCTGCACAAACATGTCCAGCTAGGAGTGATGGCTGACTTCTTGTTGACTAGATTTCCGTGTAGGTGCATTTCTGAATATAAAGAGTTAAGAAACTCTGCCCATAAGCCCAGTCCCATGTCCTCATAACCCCTACCATAGCTCAGAGCTGGAGGTGAACGTGGGGTCTTGAGTGATTTGCTTCTACCTTTCCTGTCCTGGCAGCAATGGAGTTGACTGTCTTTTCCTAGAGTTACATGGCTTAGGTTCACTTCAAGCTCTTTTGCTTACTAGCCATGTTACAGTATTGACTGAATGACCATGAGCCTCACTTTTTGTCCAGCTGTAAGATGGGAATCATAATCCATAAACTGTGCTGAATAAAGTAATCTGGCAGTAACTACTGCTTGTCAAATGGTGTCTATGATTTATGAGTATTAACTTGGTTGGGATTATTATTTTGGATTTATAAAGTGAGTTTATGCTCAGCATAGCTTGACTGTTTCTCTTTGTATAAACAGATTAAATTGGTGAGTTTTATAAAAAGGTAGAGATAGTAGAAATATTTGTCTGCCTTAGCCTTAATCTTCGGGAAACAACTCTGTCCCAGTCATTCATAATTCTGTGGTGGATAATTCTTCCTCATAAGGTCCTATTTACTTAGGTTCATGGCCATCCCAGCTGCTTTTCCATAACTCTCGGTTAGTCGTGGAGGTGGAGTGCAGCTGCACCGCCACTCTGACCCTCTCTGGCGAACATCAGACTTAAAGATTTCATACAGGTGAAGGTCCAAAAGACACAACTTCAAACAACATGAAAACTCTTCACTAGCACCAAATATGAAGTTCAGTAGGAAGCAACAATCTGCAGTTTGCAGCAAAGATTTCAAATAGTTAGAATTAGCAAGTATAGACTAAAAATACACTTAATTCAGGTTTTAGAAGAATTAAGAGAAAACTTTAGATATAACAATAGGAATAAGAGGATTCCTCCTCAGTCAGATATTTTTAAAGAACCAGTAGGCGCTTGGGTGTTTGGCTACTGTCTTGACTGGAACATGAATGGTCCTTGAATGTGCGCATGTCCAACCAGATTATTAAGTGTGTTTTTGTTTTTTTATTCTATTCAACAGTTTCTATACCAAAAATCTAGTAGAGTTGGGCAAAGAAGATCTCAGCTATGAATAAGAGATGGTTGTCGTTGAGGAGCTTATAGTCTTTTTGCCTTAGTTTCAAGATGGTCCGTCTGGGGGGCGGGGGCGGGCTGAAGAAAAGGACCGTAGAGTCTACAGTCTTAAGGGCCTAGCAAGATTTTTGGTTTTGGCTGTCATTTTATTGTCTTGCATAGCCAGGTCTGTCTTTCCCCGTGCTGGTCATCTCATTCCCCCACAACAAGAGCTAATTGGCGTATTTTGACAATGTTGTGCTCAGTATTTTTTCTTTTAATCCCAGCACTCAGGAGGCAGAGGCAGGCAGATAGATCTCTGTGAGTTTGAGGCCAGCCTGGTCTACAGACAGAGTTCCAGAGCAACTAGGGCTGTTACACAGAGAAACCCTGATTCAAAAAACTGAAACCAAAAACAACAACAAAATTGGAATTAAAAATTTTTATTTTATGTGTATTGTCTGTATGTCTATTCACCACGTACATGATTGGTGCCTACTGAGGCCAGAAGAAGGCATTAGATCCCCTGGAACTGGAGTTGCAAACAGTTGTGAGCCATCATGTGGGTGCTGGGAATTAAACCTGGGTCCTCTGGAAGAGCAGTGAATTCTCTTACCTGCTGAGTCATCTCTCCAGCCTGTGCCTGTTGTTTGGGAGTTCTTTTCACTGGAATAAGGGTTTCTCTAAGTCTTGGTCCTTACAAGCTTCACTAAATTAAAACTCTTAACTTAGTACACAAAGACTTCCTTTGTTTAAAAGTTAAAACAAACAAACAAACAAACAAACAAAAATCCCCAAACCCTCAAATAAGATTCTAACAGAGAAATTGCTCATTTATCACCAGGCATTTTGTCACTTTGAGAAGAAACTAATATGAAAAACATCAGTTCTGAAAGTCTTAACTGATAAAGACATTATTATACCCACTTAAAAGTGAAGTAAATTTAGCATGGACAATGAAACACCGAAGAAAAATGGGGGAAATGGTATTTTTCTGAGTTGGATCCTGGGAAGGCTTCCAAAAGGAGGTAGCCTTTGTACTTGGGTTTGATGGTTGGCTAAGAAAGAGGCTGGGGTCATGGAGAGTGCGCTAAACTGAAAGTATTGATCACTGTTACTACAGAGGTGAGAAATGTGACTGGCTGGAGCTGGCTAGCCCTGAAAATGGGGCCCTGGCTTTCCCAGCCGTGCAGTTACCTCTGTCTCCCTCTCTGCCTGCATTTGACCCTGTTTCCTCTGTGTGTCATTTGCTTCCATTGGAGTGAGTCCTGTTAAGACATGGTGAGGATAAGTTCTCTGTGCACACTAATAAGATTGTTAAAATGAAACCTTTTGTAATGTGACTGTGAAACTAGCTTTTCCCATTACTAAGTGGCATCTTGGATTGGGTGGTTTGGGAATGTTTTTCAGGTTGAAAATATCCTCTTGCATGACCGAGGCCACTATGTCTTGTGTGACTTTGGAAGTGCCACCAACAAATTCCAGAACCCACAGGCCGAGGGAGTCAATGCAGTAGAAGATGAGATTAAGAAGTAAGCCTTTTCTCCTTTCCTGGAGTTTTGTCCATTGTCAGATGAGCACATTCTCTTTCAGCTTATGGATGAAACAGAGTGAGAAGAACATGGTGCTGGCTGGTTCCCCTTTTCCCAGAGCAGACTGTTCACGTATTGGGTTGTTTGATTGTTCCTGAAAGCCAAGGTGGGAAAACTGGCCGGTGGACTGACAGAAGAGTCTTAAAACTTTCTCAATGCTCCTGTGGTCACTATACACAAATTTTAATTTACAGTGCCACACATCCATAAAAAAATGAGTGGTAGCTGGAGAGGGTGGGGAAGGTGTGGTATATCCCTTTAACTCCAGCAACTTGCTATGTGGCCTGGGCTATATAGCAAGACCTTGTCTCAAAAACCAAAAGGAAAACTAAAGGCTAAATGGTGATATATACTCATTGAAGTACCATGATTTTCCAAGAGAAGTCACATACATTATGGCATTATGAATCAGATAGGTGTGTGTTTTTTTTTGTTTTTGTTTTTTTTTTTGGTTTTTCGAGACAGGGTTTCTCTGTGTAGCTTTGCGCCTTTCCTGGAACTCGCTTTGGAGACCAGGCTGGCCTCGAACTCACAGAGATCCGCCTGGCTCTGCCTCCCGAGTGCTGGGATTAAAGGCGTGCGCCACCACCGCCTGGCCTAGGTGTGTGTTTTTTACTGAACTCTAAATTGCTACCTCCTTTTTCATGAGGAACTCAACCACTCCCTAGTGGAATTTATGGTAAATAGAGCTACTGAAACCTCTACAGTTACTGAATCAGGGACCTGACTGGAAGTCTTTTTATATTTTTGACTCCTGTAGGAGCCTCATGTCCACACTATTGGGTTTTCCCAGGCACAATAGACTCATTATGGCTTCTAGTAAATCAGCTGTCCATCATGTACTCACAGATAGTGAGCCTCTGTCCCCTTTGTGTATCACTCAGGTAACCATGTCTGAGGCAAGACCACTTCTAGTCCAAGGTCCTGATAAGACACCCAAAGAAATCCAGATACTAGAGCAGCATAGTTGAGTGTTTAGTAACATCAAGATATTCATTCACTTAGGACAAGTGCTTACACTACTGTTTTCTTGAGTCAAAGATAAGAAAGAACACTTCAGTTTTAGCCTCAAAGAACCCATGATTATGGAGCTGGAATGATGGTACAGTGCATAAAATGCTTGCCATGCAAACGTGAGGACCAGAGTTTGGATCCTTAGCACTCATAGAAAAGCCTGGTGGACACGATGGCTTGTCTGTAATCCAGTGCTTGGGAGGTGGAGACAGGGAATCTCTGGAGCAAGGTAGATAGCTAGACTCATCCTATCAGCAAGTCTCAAGACATAAAGTGGAAAGCAGTGAAGGAAGACACTATCAACTTCTGTTCTGCACACACATAGGCACACATACACTACATACATTACTCTCCCCAGAAAAGGACACATGAAATCCCCACCCCAGCTAGAGCTCACTTGGGTTGCCTCTCTGAGTCTCATGTTAAGAGTTTACTATTTTAAAAATTAATCATCAGCCGGGCGGCAGTGGTGCACACCTTTAATCCAGCACTTGGGAGGCAGAGCCAGGTAGGTCTCTGTGAGTTCGAAGCCAGCCTAGTCTACAGAGTGAGATCCAGGACAGGCACCAAAACTACACAGAGAAACCCTGTCTTGAAAAACGAAAACAAAACAAAACAAAACAAAAAACCCCTAATCATCAAAACATAGTATTAGACTAGAATGACTTATGGGGAAAATTTGTCATTTGGAGACTCAAAAAAGGGTGCTTTTAGGACTTTGTGTCTGAATACCCCAATACTCCAGTGTTCTAGGCGTAGAAGGTCTTCTGTGAGAGGCTGTGATGACATCAGTGTACCAACGAGAATCTTTCACTTTATCTGTACTAATATTTAATTTGCTCTTCTGCAGATTGCTGCCAGAGAATTGATTCTAGTAATGTGAATAAAAATTGTTTCTCCTTGATTTAATTATAAGACTAATATATTTAACAAACGGATCTTTTGATTGTAGATACACAACACTGTCCTATCGAGCTCCAGAAATGGTCAACTTGTACAGTGGCAAAATCATCACTACGAAGGCAGACATTTGGGTATGTGTCAACTAAGCCATCTGCACCCCAGATGTCAGCGGGCCTTGGCTGGACTCCTAAGTTTAACTAACCAGGGGGTGCACACAGTGTTGCCCACTGTTGATTATTTTATGTGTATGTGTGTTTGTCTGCATGTGTGTCTATGTACCATGTGTGCAGTGTCCTTAGAAGACAGTATTGAATCCCCTGGAACTGAGGTTACAGATAGTTGTGAGCCACCATGTGGGTGGTGGATATTGAATTTGGGTCCTTTGGAAGAGCAGCCAGTGCTCTTAACCACTGAGCCATCTCTCTAGTGACCTTGTTGCTGATCTTGATGTCAGGGGACAGCCATGGCCTCTTGGAATATGGGGTAAAAACAACAACAATAATAATAATAATAAAAAACTAGTTTGCATGTATACCTGTGCTTTTCATTTGTATGGTATACTTCTAAAGAACAGACCAGGTGAAATAGTCTTTACTAGTCATAGATAAAAATGTAACTCAGGCCGGGCGGTGGTGGCGCACGCCTTTAATCCCAGCACTCGGGAGGCAGAGCCAGGCGGATCTCTGTGAGTTCGAGGCCAGCCTGGACTACCAAGTGAGTTCCAGGAAAGGCGCAAAGCTACACAGAGAAACCCTGTCTCGAAAAACCAAAAAAAAAAAAAAAAAAAAAAAAAAAAAAATGTAACTCAGATGCTAGATTGTCATTCTGGGTTCTAAATTCAAGTGTTGCATAGGTAATGTTATGTGGGGTTTGTTTCTGCTGTGAAACCTGGCTGGTACTGGCCTCTTTGAGCAGATCGCTGGCTTTATGGTAAATAAACCACTAGTTGCAATCTGCTTTCTTATTTTTTAGGCTCTTGGCTGTTTGTTATATAAATTATGCTACTTCACTTTGCCATTTGGAGAGAGCCAGGTGGCAATTTGCGATGGAAGCTTCACAATTCCCGATAACTCTCGATATTCTCAAGACATGCATTGCCTTATTAGTAAGTATTTCAAGTTTCCAGTTTCATGTTTTTATTTCTAATCACAAGGAATGCATTGGAGGATAAAGGGATTAAATTCTAAGAACAAGATAAAGAAATCATTTGATACTGTTGGGAACAGTGATAGCATGGCAATGTTCACTTAAGAGAAGCTGGTCTTTTTGCTAGAAAACTAAACTCTGCTTCGAAGCTGAGCCAGCCACACAAATGGGAATGGTAGTTGTGCTCGGAGCAGCATGCTGCTGCTGTGTTCTGCTGCAGTCTATTTAAGAACTCAGAGTCCAGCTGACTCACATCAAGGGATAAGAAATTTATCTTTGCAAAGCTGAAAGCAGCTCAAGTGAGCATGATTGCAGTGCTGGAATGAATATGTAATTAAGACCATAGAACTCCATGGAGCCAGGTTTTTTCCTCTTATTTAGGTTATCACTGGATTTTTACAACAAGCATCTAAATTGAATGTTTTGTTTAAAATTCTGAAGATTTTCATTTCTTTGTGTTATCATAGCCAGCATATGTACTAACATCCATTAACCAGATGGCAGAAAAGTAAGATTTGTACCAGAACCTGTATGAAATGCTAAAGAAACAGATTTTTTATTTTAAAAAAGTAATCTTTTAAAATGCTGGTCAAGACATTTAGTAGATAAGTTTGAAAAAGCACCATAGACCATAAATCCTGAGCTACCTAGTTTGAGAGAAAGACAAGTGATGTAGAACATTGATCTGTATTGAGGCCTACTTATACCTCACCTGATTCTCAACCTTTTAGGTTTGGTGGGCCTGCATGCATTGTTTGTTTGTTTATTTGTTTGTTTGTGATTTGAGACAGCATATCACTATGTAGCTTTAACTGTCCTGTAACTTACTGTGTAGAGCAGGCTGGCCTCAAATTCACAGAGATCTGCATGCCTCTGCCTTCTGAGTGCTGGGATTAAAGGTGTGCCCCACTAAGACTGGCAAGACCTGGAGATCTTAAGGGTCATTGTCCATATTACCCACAAGAGGGAACAGAAGATTTACTCAAGCTGACAAAATTCTGGCAGTTCCACAACGGCCCTTTCCATTGTGACACTTCTCAATGAGCAGGAGGGTGTCGTGCTTATCGGGTAGGAGTGTGGATCTTGAGGATTGCCAGATAGTTTGCAGAGTCACAGCAGTGTGTCTATCCTAGGACTGCAGATGTGCAAGGAAGTGGAGAAAGGGCTGGTCTTGGTGTTGCTCATAGCTTTTTTTTCTTTTCTACTTTTCCTTTCTAACATCTGCAACAGTGAATTCATGTTGGAAAAGAGCTCTTTCTGAGGACTGTAGCACTGACACCTTTTCTAGACTCTATTTAGTGTGCATGCTATTTGAAGGTTTTGAAGACTGTAAACTTGTAGGCCTCTTGTTGCCTCCCCAATGCCTTTCCCCAGACTGTCTGTTTTTCACTTTCTTTTGGTGCTTTTGCCATCCATGCCTGGATAGATAACAGACAATTTTCTGGAAGAAGCTGACTTAATCTCCATCGATTCTCTTTAATCACTTGTCTTGATTCTCTTCATTGTTACCAAAGTATGTACAAACTCTAGTAGATCATGACCTGGTACATTGCCCCCAGCTTCTCTACTCTCTTTTCATTCTTCCAGTACATCTCTACCATGGATTATTCCTAGAAAATGTCACTTTCTCATGTCCCATTGAGTAAACTTGAGTGGCTTGCCAATGGTCCCACAATTAGGCCCTGATTCTTAGCATGGTGCTTAGGGTCCTTTGTATTCTTTTTCTGTCCCACTCAGGCAGCCATCTTGGCACATTGTCCTTTGGGCTCATGTTCCTAGGTAGCGGTGTTCATTTTCTGGCCTTTATCTAAGCTTGCCTTTTTTGGCATTTGTCCTCTAATCTAGACTGCCTTTTTCTTTGGTCTTCAATGACTAACTTTGTCTTGTCTCTTTGGCAAGGCCATTCAAGGCTCAGCCTCACAGATCTTTTCTGAACTTAGTGCCCAGTTCATTTGTTCCTCAAGCAGTAAACTGTCTTGACTCATTTTGCATGTGTTTACACATGTGCTTGCATCTTCTCAAAGATTTCTCCTGAGGAATTTTCCAGTGTCAGAGACACTTGAAGGACCTGGAAATAGACAGGCAGTCTATGGAGCTGAGTATGTTAACTTCTTAATTTTCCTCAAACTAAAAACTAGCTTATATCTCCAACAAGAATAGTAAGTAAGTTCATGAGTTTGTTTTTTAGATCTAGAGACAGAACCCAGGGGTTGTCTTCCACCAAACCTTGAGTTCATGATATCTGAAGTTTGGTTGTATTTGTCAACAGTCACTTGTTTAACAGAGGGGGAAGACCACGGCATATTCTAAGTCTTAGACTATGAAGCTGCTCATTTTTTGTCAAGAGTGTGAGCCCCTGACATCCAGGATATGAACCCCAAGTAGCTTTGCTACAGCTCAGGGAATTTTCTTGTTTCCCTTGCTAGGAAAGGGGCTAATTGAACTATCTGACCTTTATGAGAATTGAAACTGAAAATACAACCCAACTTCAACATTAGAAAAGTTCAGTTACCTAGCTGATGCAACAACTGTTAAGATATTATGGAATAAGTTCATGTATGTTTGTCTTAGGGTATATGTTGGAACCAGACCCTGACAAAAGGCCGGATATTTACCAGGTTTCTTACTTCTCATTTAAACTACTCAAGAAAGAATGCCCAATTCCAAATGTACAGGTATGTAATGGTGCTTTTTTAAAAAGGATTCATAATTTTTAAGGTTGTTTTCATTTGTTCTTTGAGAATTTCATATACAATGTATTTCAAATACAATATATTTTGACCATATCCATCCCTATTCCTCCCTCTAACTGTTAGGATTCTGCTGCTCCTCCAGCTGCATGAACGAACACACGCAGTCAGTAGCTTAGTAAGGGGTCTTAGTCTCACATCATCAGTGTGCTGCGTGATAGCCCAAATGTGCGCAGCACGGTCACGCAATCAGCGCATGCATGGTGTGGCTCCGTAAGCCCACTTGCACATGTGCATGGGAATCCTTAAAAAGCCAGACACAGACTCCTCCTCTCTCTTCTGCTCTCCCCCAACCTCTCTCTTTCTGCATGTGCTTCTTCCCAGGCCTGGTTATTCTTTTCTGTCCCCCCCCCCCCCCAATAAAGCTCTGATACTGGGTTTTGTTGTGTCTCATGACCTTTTCCCCAGTAACCAGTGCTGCTTATCATTTTTCAAGACAACACTCATTCCTCTAGCACCCTCTCTAGCCCATTCCTCCCAAATTCATGTCATTTCCTTTTTTTTAAAAAAAAAATAACCCACTGAATCCCATTAGTTCTGCCCGTATGCCCACAGATGTGGGGCTCTCCACCTGAGCACTGGCTACCTATGGTTGTTACATCTCCAAAGACAAATGGCTCTCCCTCAAAAAGCATCAACTGCTCAACTCCTCAGCAAGATGTGGGGCCTCATGAGTCCCTAGAAATTTGATTAACTTGATCTTGGGTAGATCTTGTGCATATAACCACAGCTGCCATGAGTTCATTAAAATGGTGCTATTTAAAGGAAGTAAACATCATCAAATTGTTATTTTTGAGTCATTATGGGTGTTAATCTCTAGATTCAATGAATATTAATGTCCCTTGCTTTACCCACTATAGGACATTCAAGCAAAGCAGTTACTATAAAGAGAATCCAATTTTCCCATGAATTTAATTATGAAACTGAGACAACTCACTGAACATTAACAACCTCCTCCCCAAATGCCTAGGGACTGAGCTGAGTAGAATGACCACCACTCACTGAGAGCAGCATGTCTGCTGTGTTTCCCTGGAATGATCAATTGCCTTGTTTTCCTGAGACAAGGCTCTATTCCCCCTGCTGTTCTTTCTTTCTTCTTGTGCATTTTGCTCCTGTGATTCCATCTCATGCATTTTTCTAGCCTCCTTTCCCTCTAACAGGGAGATGAGGCCCTAGAAGTCATATTAGAAGATGCCAAATGCTACTTCCATTAGTCCTAGTCAGACTGGTTGTTTCTTGTTTGGAGTTTTTATTTTATTTTATTTTATTTTTTTTGTTGTTTTTGTTTTTCGAGACAGGGTTTCTCTGTGTAGCTTTGCGCCTTTCCTGGAACTCACTTGGTAGCCCAGGCTGGCCTCGAACTCACAGAGATCCGCCTGCCTCTGCCTCCCGAGTGCTGGGATTAAAGGCGTGCGCCACCACCGCCCGGCTTGGAGTTTTTATTTTTATTTTATGTTTTAAAACAGGATTCATGATCCTCCTGCCTCAACTTCCCATGTCCTGGGATTACTGTCATAGGCCATCATACCTGGCCTCAGACTGCTTATTATTTACAAAGAAATCCATATGCTTTTTTTCCCTTTCAACTCTCCCATTTTAGAACTCTCCCATTCCTGCAAAACTTCCTGAACCAGTGAAAGCAAGTGAGGCAGCTGTGAAAAAGACCCAGCCAAAGGCCAGGTAAGGAATACCCTCCAGAGCTTGCTTGCATTGTGCTTGTTGCCGACTGCAGTGGAGGTGCCTGCTGCTGAAGTCCTGTGTGGCTGTGACTAGAGGCTGCCCAGATCAGGAAAGCAAGCTCTGTCGCCCTATGCAGAAACTGGTCTTTGGTACTGCCAAGAGGGATATAATAAAGTGTTGAGATCTACATTTGAAAGGAATCGGTAACCTCACAGATGTCGTCCGTTGCATGGCAATAGATGGTAAGGGCTTTCTGGGATGAGACAATGCTAGACTTAAAGGGTTGGTGCTAGAGAATTGTCCTAACCTGTTTCTGAGCTGGTGGTTAGCCATGTTTACCCCCTAGTCTGACACATTCTTTCTTCTCTGGCTCCAGCCATATTAGGAAAGTGCAGTTGAATGAAAGTCCATGAACACCAAAAGATCCCTCTAGGTCTTAGCTAATTGCACTGGAGTCACCCTGGGTCTTCAAGAGCAGACACCAAGAAAGGATGAAACAAGTAAGGGGAGATACCCAAGTCAGAGGAGATACCCAAGTCAGAGGAGAAGGGAGCAAGCCAGGAAATCCTGGGTAGGTGGTTGGGAGGTACAAGTCTCACTTCAGAGGGGAAGGAGAGTAGTGAGTAGACATGACCCAGACTACAATACCGTTTCAGGAAGGATGGCTGAAGTACTTATCCCAGAGTCAGCCAGCAGAGGAGTTCCTTCCTGCTGGAGTCTCTGCACTTGGGATTTGGGGCCAGAGAGCAGTCTGTGGGAAGGAAGCTGCAGGCCATACTGGACTGGATTTTTAGATTGGTTTTCACACCTGTCACAGCTCAGGGTCTGCCAGACACGCTTATGTGGATTCCAAATGAAAAATTCTAAAGGTGACCGGTAGGTTCTCTGTCCCTCCTTTTCCTGCCATCTTCCAATGGCAAGGAAATGCTAGTAACAGACTGTAAACAAAGACTCTGGATAACAATATGTGTATTTTAAAAATATTTGATTATTTATTTAAGTGTAAATGTGCATGGGCAAGCAGATTTATGTGCTCTGAGTGCAGGTGCCCCCCTAGGGGTGAGAAGAGGCTAGTGGATCCCCTGAAGCTGGAGTTATAGGAGTTGTGAGCCACCCAGCATGAGTGCTGAGACCTGAACTCCAGTGACCTCCGCAGAAGCAGTGTGTGCTTCTACCTGTTGAGCCACGACCAGAACAACTTGTAGAAGAAAGTATTTTATTCAGGCTTATGGTTCCAGAGGGATAAGAGGGGGAGGCACGGCAGCAAGCAGCAGGCATGGTGTCTGGAGCAAGATGCTGCTGGGATCTCACATCCTTTACTGCAGGCATGAAGCGGGGGGCAACTGCAAGGAAAGCAAGGCCTTAAGTTCTCCCACCCCCAGTGACCTAGTTCTTCTGTAGATAGCAGCACCAACTGGGAACCAAGTATTCAAGGGTCTCAGACTGTGGGGACACCTTATTCAGACCACCATAGCTAGTCTGGTAGTTCTGCTCCATGAAGCTCTGGGGTCCCGGGTTTCTTCATGCTTTTCACTTTCTCACCTTACAACAGAGCTATGGCCTTCTGGGTTAATGTGGCTGCATCCATATTCAAAGCAGCAAAATCAAGAAATAGTCAGAGAGACCATTATTCCTTAAGGTTTCTAGAAAGTGCCAGATAGTCATCCTTTCTGTTCTGTATACAGCTAGAACTTGGTCTTTTCAGATTGCAAAAGAGGCTGTGCTATGTGATCTGTATCTTAGGTAACTCTAGGTCAAACTGACAATGTATTATTTTGGAAAACAAACACACATAGAAATGGTGTTCCTGTTGTACCCCCTAATTTTAAACTCTTTATTTTGGACTGTTTGCTTAGTTCTTTCATTTGTCCTGTTGGGTTCATTCCTCTGCATGCTTCTCACTGTAGAGAGCTCCCCACCATTTAAAATGATTTGTTTGTTTATGTCTGTGTGGCGCTATGCTCGTGTGAGTATAGGTGCCCACAAAGGTTAGAAGAGGTCATCAGATCCCCTGGAGTTGGAGTTAAGAACTCAGGTCATGTGGAAGTATATATAGCAAGCACTTGTAACTACAGAGCCATCTCTCCAATCCCTAGAGAGCCCATTGTCGCAGCTCTTTTCAACCAAGTTTAAGTTCTCTGTGTGTAAAAAACCACTGCCCCAACCATTACCCAGAGTGTATTTTGGAAATCCTGTGTTTGGTGAAAGAGTCTCAAGATGGAATCGGCTTAAAGAACACTGTTTCTCTGTAGAGGAATCTCATCACCAGTCACTCTGCACATTGACATGCTTAAGAAATCTGTTCATAGACTTTGTCAGTGTGTTTAAAACTTATTTGTCCACCAAGTACTTCTTCTCTCTCTCTCTCTCTCTCTCTCTCTCTCTCTCTCTCTCTCTCTCTCTCTCTCTCTCTCTCTCTCTCTTTAAACATAGTTACTCTGTGTAGCCCTGGCTGTCCAGGAACTCACTCTGTAGACCAGGCTGGCCTCCAACTTACAGAGATCTGCCTGCCTCTTCCTCCAGAGTCCTGTGATTAAAGGTGTGCTCCACCACCACCCGACTTTTTAAAATTTTTTTACTGGAGACATTTAGTAACATTTTTACTAAATGTAAACGAATTATTACTAATGATATAAAGTTTTTATTTCTCCCTAATTGTAGCTGGAGTTTTCCTGCCTGGCCCACAGTCAGGACAAATCTCTCTCACTTGCCAGTCCCACAGCCGCTCAAACCCAACCAAGTAAACACAGAGACTTATATTGGTTACAAACTGTATGGCCGTGGCAGGCTTCTTGCTAACTGTTCTTACAGCTTAAATTAATCCATTTCTATAAATCTATACCTTGCCACGTGGCTCGTAGCTTACCGGCATCTTCACATGCTGTTTCTCATCGTAGCGGCTGGCAGTGTCTCTCTGACTCAGCCTTCCACTTCCCAGCTTTATTCTCCTCCTTGTCCCGCCTATACTTCCTCCTGCCTGACTACAGGCCAATCAGTGTTTTGTTTACTAACCAATCAGAGCAACACATTTGCCATACAGACCATCCCACAGCACCTAATTTCTTTGATAAACTCACTTGTCATTAAAAAGTATATTCAGGAACTGGGGAGGTAGCTCAATTTTTTTTTTTTTTTTTTTTGAGACAGGGTTTCTCTGTGTAGCTTTGCGCCTTTTCCTGGATCTCGCTCTGTAGACCAGGCTGGCCTCGAACTCACAAAGATCCACCTACCTCCCGAGTGCTGGGATTAAAGGTGTGCGCCGCCGCCGCCGCCGCCCGCCGCCGCCGCCGCCACCCCGGCTCAATTTTTTTTTTTTTTTTTCACAAATAAGACTTTTATTTGTCACTATTAAAAATCTGGATTTCAAACAGATTCTTGGACTGGTGGTTCATATCCATCCGCTTGTTCAACTTTAGCACCTGTCTCATCACCAGTAGCTTTTCCAGAACTACCAACTTCACCATGGAGCTCCATGAGTTTTCCCAATTCAAACTTGGGTTTCTTCAGCATTTTTACTTTTCTAACGAAGACATCATGAAGAGGATAAATGGACTGGCAAGCCTTTTCTATGTCTTTCCCAATGCTGTCTGGAATCAATTTATTAACCACTTCCTTCAAGTCATTTGTCTGTACTTCTCGGGTCATGATTTCCATCATCTTCTTCCGGATCTGGCAGACCTGCTGGTGCTGTGCATAAGAGGTCTTGCGTATCTGGTTGTTGCGTTTTTTAGTGAAACCAACACAGAACAGACGGAGCAAATAACCATCAGTTGTCTTGACATCCACATGAGCTTCAATCATGGTCTGCCACTTTTTGACCATGGAACACATTTTGTCCCGGGTAAGATCCATGCCATGGAAGTTAGTCAGACAGTTTTTGCCCTGAACATCCTCAGTAATTAGCTTGAATTTTCTAAACGCAACTTCGTCATTCTGTAGATCAGCAAGGCTCACTTCAAACACACGACCCTTGAGGCCATCAGATGCAATTTTAGTTCCTTGAGTCCTCGTGACTAGTGTCTTTCCAATGTTTCTAATATTGAACATAGCCGGAGCTTTCACATCATACCAATCTTTCTTCGAAAATGGATCAACCACTTTCTTCTTGGCTCCCTTCTTGCCGCCTTTTGTCAGGCGCTTGTTCTTGCCGACCGCCATGGTGCTGCGGAGAGGGCCAAAAGGGTCAATTTTTTTTTTAATTGGAAATTCATACAATATATTCTGGCCACTGTGTTCCTCCCCCATTTCCCAGATCCTCTCCACCTCCCTACCCATCCAACTCCACACCTTCTTCCTCTCTCTCTTTAGAAAAAAAAAGAGCCAGCAGTGGTGGTGCACGCCTTTAATCCCAGCACTCAGGAGGCAGAGGCAGGCGGATCTCTATGAGTTGGAGGCCAGCCTGGGCTACAGAGTTCCAGGACAGCAAGAGCTACACAGAGAAACCCTATCTCAAAAAACAAAACAAAAACACAAATAATGAAAAACAACAGCAACAAAAAACCAAAAACAAATAATTAAATAAATAAAATGAAAAATAATAATAATAGTAGAAAAAAGCTGAGACAGCACAAGAAACACATATATAAACAGATACGTACACAAAAAAGGAAAAGCCATAAAAACATAAAATTGGAAACCATACTTAATATACAAGCAAAAGACCAGTAAGATTTAAAAAATATGCCAAACAAAACAATATGACACAAAAAAGTCTAGAAAAGCACCATTGAGTACATTTTGTGTTGGTTATCTTCTGGGCCTTGGGGCCTGCCCTTCAGTGTGGTTTCTCTACCCAGTGAGACTTTATTGAAGAAAACTAAGTTTTCCTTTGCACGTGGTTGTCAGTTGGAGACAGTCTTGGTTAGGGATGGGAGATCATGTCCATTTCCCTGTCTCAGTGCTGGAACTCCATCTGTCTTGAACCTGTGCAGACCCGGTGTATGCTACCATAGTCTTGTGAGTTCCTGTGTTCCTCAGCCCTGTTTTGTCTGAAGACATGTTTCCTTGGTGTCCTCCATCTCCTTTGGCTCTTATAATCTTTTCCCTTCCACTTCTGTCTGGCTCCCTGAGCCCTGAGGGGAGGGGTTTTATGAAGACATCCCTTTTAGGACTGAGTGTTCCAGTTTCTCATTCTCGGCAGTGTCCAGTTGTGGGTCTCTGTGTTAGTTCCCATCTACTGCAGCAAGAGGAAAGCTTCTCTAATGATGGCTGAGTAAGACACTGATCCAGAGATAAAGCAGCAGATGTTGCCAGCAGTCGTTTCATGGCTGTGCTCCTTTAGCAGAACAGTAGTATTTGGTGTCCCCTAGGCCCATGGTCTGTCTAGTCTCAGGTTTGGGCCACCTGTCAGGCATGGGTTCTTTCTTGTGGAGTGAGCCTTCAATCCAACCAGATAGTGGTTGTTTACTCCCACAATGTTTGTACCACTGTTGTACCAGCATATCATGCAGGCAGGTCACTGTTATAAACTGCAGGGTTTGGAACTGGGTTAGTAGTCACGAGCTCCCTTAATTTGTGCTTGGCTTAACATACCCTTATTTGAGAATGGGGAGATGACCTAGTAGGTAAAGTACTTGGCAGAACCCATGTAAAAGTTGGTTACAGTAGGGCATGTGTCTGTAATTCTAGCATGTACAAGGAGATGGGAGGCAGACACAGGAGAATTGCAGGAAGTTGACAGACCAGCTAGCCTGATGTAGTCAGTGCTGTATAAGGAAGATTGTGTGTCCAACTAGGTAGAAGGGGAGAACCAATCCTCGAAGTTGTTGTCTTCTGACCTCCACATGTGCATCATTGGCACATACACACCTCCCCTCATGTCCTTGAATCTCCATTGGTTTTTAAAGATTGCTTTGCTGAGTATGGTAATTTTGGTTGGGAGTTGTATTTTTTCGGGGTTTGAAATGTATCATTCTGTGTTTTCCTGGCTTTAAGGTTGCTAATGAGAGATAAGATGTTATTTTGATGTGCTTGCCTTTGTAGGTGAGTAGGCATTTGGGAAAGTGTTGATTAAGCAAATCTGAATGGTTTGAAGGAATGTTGAGGGTAAAAAACATCATGTGTTCTGCCTATGCTCTCTGTTTTCCCCCATTTTAATAGCAATGTTGTTTTTCCTTTTCTAGACTGACAGATCCCATTCCCACCACAGAGACTTCAATCGCACCCCGCCAGAGGCCTAAGGCTGGGCAGACTCAGCCAAACCCAGGAATCCTTCCCATTCAGCCAGCCCTGACTCCTCGTAAGAGAGCCACCGTTCAGCCCCTACCTCAGGCTGCGGGTCAGTAACTGCAGCTTGTTGCAGTGCTTCTTGACCCTGGTGTTAAAATAGGCACAGCCTAAGGAATAATGGGCTGATTGCCAGTGAATGGGTATGGCACGTGGCTGCCAGAGGAGGACCTCCTTTCTGGACTCAGGTTGACCGCTCAGACCTCTGAAGCCTGCTGTCGGCATTTATTTTCTTACTGGACCTTTAGGCCATCCACCCATCCTATTTCTTTATTTTATATACTTCTCCTTTCTTTAAAGAAACAAAGCTTACTTCTTTTGGATAACTATATAAGAATAGCATTTCATTAATGCTTCATTTATTAATTTATCATCCTCTGTCATAGTATTCTGTTATATGAGAGGAATGAGCTTTGTTTCAAATGGGGATTGATCCAGAATAACAAGTCATAGACCACAACTATCACATCCTTTACCAGGAACAACTTTTGATAGATTTGGTGGCCTTTTATATACAGCCAGGCATTCAGATGCTAGCTGTGAAAGCTGTTCATAAAATATCAAAGAATGCTTTTGCTGTGGGTATGCAAGCTGGAACAAAGATCACGTTTAGTGGCAGTAGTTAGCTGTGTGTGTATAGGAGGGTGCTGACTACAGGACTAGTTGGCTAGATGGGATGATGGATAAGGGAAACCCCTCTGAAGGAGGCAAGTATTGAATCTTACAATTCCATCTGGGTTTGAAATATTGGAAGCACATTGGTAAGAAATGGAAATCTATTCCAAATAGAGCATCACAAATGGCAAAATGCTGAGGAGCAGGCAAAGCTTGGGATAGTCTGCCTGCTTCTAGCATTTCTCAGGTGGCAAATCAGAAAGTCATTTTTGTCTGGTAGAGTTTTGAACTCTTACATGGAGTTTATTTTCATTGCAGGACCCAGCAATCAGCCTGGCCTTCTAGCCAGTGTTCCCCAACCTAAAGCCCAACCTACACCCAATCAACCTCTTCAACAATCTCAGCCCAAGCAGCCACAAGCTCCACCCACTCCACAGCAGGCACCTTCTAACCAGACCCAAGGTCTGCCCACCCAGGCCCAGGCCACTCCCCAGCACCAGCACCAGCTCCTCCTCAAGCAGCAGCAGCCACAGCAGCAGCAGCAGCCACAGCAGCAGACAGCACCACAACAGCCAACAGGCACCTTTTACCAGCAGCAGCAGCAACAGCAGCAGCAAGCTCAGACGCAGCAGGTGAGGATGTCTATATGACCCTTGCTTTGCATAGTGGAATTGTTGCTATTGAAAGGCCTGCTAGGGTACAGCATCTTTCTTGGAAAGTGCTAGGATGGCCCAGAGCCACTGGCCAGTACACCATCACTTCTCACAGATGTAGAAACTGAAACATCAAAGTGCAGATTAATAACTCTCAGGCCTTTCAGTGTTGTCCTCAAGCTTTGGGGAGGTTACCCCAACTTAGCACCCTCAGTGAAGGAGCTACTTTAAAAGGTAATACAGTGGGAAAAATAACAATGATGTCCTATCAGCACACAGTATCCAATAGTGTCAAGCTATTTCAGATATTTAAGTTTTCTTGGTTAGATCAGGATCCAAACAAGGTCCATGTATCCTATTTAGTTGGAATATATTATTTCCCATTATTTTTACGTATTTTTCATTACAGTATTTTTTTAACTTTGAACACCTTTGTTTTATGATTGCTTTCTTTTTTAAAAATGTGTATGTGTGTATGTGTATGAGTGTATGCACATGTATGTATTTGAATGCATACACTTGTAAACACTCAGAGGCAAGAGGGAGCAATGAACCCCTTAAGAGTTAGAGTCACCAGCATTTGTGGGACACCTGGCTTGTTATATGGGTGCTGGAATCTTAACTCCAGCAAGTGTTCCTAACCTCTGAGCCAGCTGTCCAGCTACAGGAAGAGGTTTCTATGTCTTTTACATCCTCTTTTGTCTCTTTTGCCATGTATTTTTTGAAGAAACTGGATTATTTGAAGCTTTGCATCTTCTGAACTTGTCTTGTTTACCCTTTGGTGGCTTTTGGTATATTCCACCATCTACTATGTAAACTGTTAATTTTTAAAAATATATTAGACATGTTTCATTTAGGATGTGTGTCTGTATAGGTGTGTTAGCTTGTGCACTATGGTGTGCATTTGAAGGTCAAAGGACAACTTTCAGGAGTCTGTTCTCTCTATCTACCATTGGGTTACAGGGGTAGGGATCAGTTGACAGATGTGGCTACAGTAAGTGTTTTACTTTGTATCATTGTAAGTTCATGGATTTGTATATATCACCATTTTTAAACATGCTCAGATTGTCCAAGTCCTTTTAAATTGGCTTCTAGATCCTTTGGATGTGACTCAGTGGTCAGTGGTTTTTTTTTTGGTTTTTTTTGGCCAGAGTATTGACTATCCCAGTATTGACTATTATTCTGCTCTTAACTTAGAGTCATCCATTTCTCTCAAGATCAGATTGTTTTTAATGGGAATGATAATTAGAAACCATAGTTGGCTTTAGAAATGACTACTTGATATTGGGTCATTTGGTATTTGTTTCTAGAACTTTTTAGTAGATACTTAGAAATGTGTTTATTTTATTAGAAAACATACATTATGAGTTCAGATATATACATCTAATTCAGACTCCTAATTATAAGATTTTTATTTAACCTCTTGGCTTTTGTGTTTTTTACCATCTGAAGATCTTTTTGTTGCTTATTGGTTTTGAGACAAAGTCTCACATTGAACTCTTAGTGATCCTCCTGCCTCAGCTTTCTGAGTCCAAGGACTGCAAGCAAGTACCACCATGCCTGGCAACCTTAGAATATGAAGCACATTGTTTTCTGTGGAGTAGCTGCCAATTGGATACACAGACTATTGAATTCATTTTGATTTTGCTTTCCACATTTTGGGTCAGTTTGTGGCTGAAGTTTTCTCCAGTCCTACCCAGCCCCACAGACCCCATAGCTGCTTATAAATAATCACTCAGAAGCTTGTATTAATTAAAACTGCTTGGCCATTAGCTCAGGCCTACCACTGACTAGCTCTTACATTTAAACTCAGCTCCTTTCTGTTAATCTATATGTTGCCACGTGCTCTGTGGCTTTACCTGTGTGCCATTACATGCTGCTCCCTGGATGGCCAGCTGGCATCTCCTGACTCTTCCCAGAATTCCTTTACTCTGCTCGCCCCGCCTATACTTCCTGCCTGGCTACTGGCCAATCAGCATTTTATTAAACCAGTGTACAAAAGCATTATCCCACAGCATTTTCCCTTTTCTGTCTAATCAAAAAGGAAGGTTTTCAGCTTTAACATAGTAAAATTACATATAATAGAACAATTATCAAGCAATAATAACAGTTACAATATCTAGTCTTTATATTTAGCAAATTCAAAGACAATATTCTATTTATCCTATATTTGTGAGTCTAAGGTTTCATATATAACTTATCTTTTATTATAACCAAGAAAAATTATAACTATAATAATCTAGTCTTCAACTACATCAAAGACCTCAGAAGGATACAATATTATCTAAGTAAACAGGAAATGCCTTGTAAGCAACTTCCAAAAATCTAGAATGCTAGAGACAGCTGTCTGCCTGGACAGTCAATCAAAGTTCCTCTGCAACGTTAGGGCATCCTTCTTCAGCCTATAGGCCTAGAGTCTCTCAGTTACTTCTTCCTGTGTCCTGTAGAATGTCTGGCAGTTTCTTCTGTGAAGCAGGAACCTGAAGGACCATCTCATCTTGCAAAGTTCATTGGTCACCTTCTTATGTGTCCTGCATGTCCAGTCAATACAACATTTTGTCAAGCAGTCCAGGCAAGAACAGTCTCTTGTCCAAATGACTATTTTTGCCAAGAAGATAAACTCCATATGGAGTGTCTTCGATGCCCATCTTTCTCTTTGAAGTAAATCAGTGCTGCCAGGAACAGACATATCTCATTGTCCAAAAAGTCTAAATTTTTAAAACATTTTTAAATGCCATATTCTGTAGGTCTTTGAAGTGTTTGAAGATTACGTACCAAATTGAAATATATCTATGTATACCTAGAAAACTTAACTAACATGACTATAAGTTTGATTATCATAGATGACTAATTATTAATCTGTATTTGTTAATTATCCATTACAATTTAAATGAGTTACATAAACATAGTACCTTAAACAAGAGTAGAAATATACATACAGTATAACAAAATTAACTTTAAATTTGTATCAATAAACTAAAATATGTAGCAATTTTAAAACATTTTACACAAGTTGTTGCTCTTTAAAAGTAGATTCAATAATCTACCCTTTCATCCTATCATATCTATATCCTATCCCCCTTTTTTTCTTTAGAAAGATATTGACTATGACCAATAACAATTTTTAACCAACAACCTAAACAAAGACAAACATCTATAATCCATTTTTTGGGAATGTGGGCGTAGTTTTCTCGGCAACTTTCTGCTGATAAAGGGCACTGTACTTTTATGGGGATCCTGACAAAATTAAGAATTATGGTCAAGTTCTGACTAGAATAGTCTGCGAGGCTGCATTGTCTGAGCCAGTTGCCTTGAAACTGTTCTGGGTGTTGGATCATCTGGAGACCTCAGGAGGTCTTGGCTGATCAAACCTGATGTATCTTAATCTGGAACAAATCCATAGCCTCTTGCTTCCTGTGGAAATAAAAGCAGAACCTCCTTTCCAAAGCAACATATCCTTAGATTCAAATTTTGAAGTCAAGATACCTTTAAAATACACATATTGGTTTACCTAAGCAACCTTTACAATCAAATGTCTTTCTGCAGTTAAAAATCCCAAAGATAATATAATCCAGACTCTCTGTGTGAGTTCCATCTTTTTAAAACTATTTCTTTGTATAACTTCTATATTCATTCTTTTCTCTCTTCTAAGCCTACGTGCATTTTTACACACACTGTAAACCATTTAAAGTCTTGTTCCATCTGAATATGCCTTACTGTGAATCTATTGCTTTAAACTGCAGCATTACTAGGTATGAAATGGCAGCTTTGGCTGCTGGCTCCACCCACCTCAGCTTCCCAACATGGTAGAACTACATTTACCGCCAACTCTGGGAACCAGGCTGTCTGTTGACTCTGGGAGGCAGTTGGGTCTATGCTTCCATCCAGCAGTGTGTAGCCCATAAACCTTCCCTTCCCTTCCCTTCCCTTCCCTTCCCTTCCCTTCCCTTCCCTTCCCTTCCCTTCCCTTCCCTTCCCTTCCCTTCCCTTCCCTTCCCTTCCCTTCCCTCCCCTCCCCTCCCCTCCCCTCCCCTTCCCCTCCCCTTTCCTTCCCCTTCCCCTTTCTCTCCCCTCCCCTCTCTTTTTTTCCTTTCCTTTCCTCTCCTCTCTTCCCCTTTCCTCCCCTCCCCTCCCCTCTCCTCTCCTCCCCTCCCCTCCCCTCTCCTCCCCTCCCCTCCCCTCCCCTCCTCTCCCCTTCCTTCTTCCCCCTTTCCCCCTCCTCCCTCCCTCCCTCCCTCCCTCCCTCCCTCCCTTCCTTCCTTTTTATTTTTTATTTTTGTCTGTATTAGCAAAGGCTAAATCGACAATGCAGTGTAATGTGTGGCTTGGAGACACCTGATTGCCGCCATGCTGCAGGTCAAGGCCTCATCAAGCCCGCAGGCTATAGCTGAGAGAGACAACTAGGAAACTGCTCTTGCCTCCATTTTAGAACCCTTTTTTAAAGTTTTCTCAGGTTTTAGGTGTAAACTCTCACCCCACGTCTTGGCACCATTTGTAACTGAATTGCTTGATAATTGTTTTGTTATATATAATTTTTACTAGGTTAAAGTTAAAACCTTCCTTTTGTTTAGAAAGAAAAGGGGGAGTGATAGGGAATGTCTTTTTGTATGCTGTGAAGATATGTTGCTCTGATTGGTTGATAAATAAAGCTGTTTGGCCAATGGTGAGGCAGAATATAGTTAGGTGGGACATTCTAACTAGAGAGGAGAGAGTTGAAAGGCAGAACAGGAGACACTACAAGCTGCCACCAGGAGAAGCAAGATGTAAAAGATACCGGTAAGCCACAGGTACGTGGCAAAGTATAGATTTATAGAAATGGGTTAATTTAAGATGTAAGATCTAGCTAGCGAGGAGCCTGAGCCAATAGGCCATACAGTTTGTAATTAATATAAGCCTCTGTGTGTTTACTTGGGTCTGAGCAGCTGTGGACTCAGTGGGACACAGAAAAACTTCTAGCTACATCAGTTTTGTTTTATGAATGTGTAAAAATAAGTAAGTAGTTTTAAAGTTAGATCTACCAAATTCTGTCCTTTAATTCTTGCAAATATATACTCCTTATTGCTATCTTCTTCTTTAGAGTGTCCCCATACTACCCTTACGGACAGACCAAAGCCCTTTGATTCTCCGGTGGGTGGGTCTTGGTTATTGCTGTAAACAGGCAGTTATACTCTTATGTGTTGTTTTTGCTGACATTTTACACTAGTAGACACATGGTATCCAGGACTATCTCAATTAACTCAGTAACAGTTTTGAGGATTTTCCAAGACTTCACTTTTGTATTAGCAGACTCTTATTTTGAGCTTTGTTAGTGTACCTAGCATTTGAAGTTTGAAGCAGTGCAGATTAGAGAGACATGAAAGAGGCGCCAGGAAGATGGGTGTAGGGTGCATTTTTAGCTCGAGCTACTTGGGAAGCTTAGTTAGCAAGGTGGCTGGAACCCACACATTTTTGGAACAAGCCTTGGCAGTGTAGTGAGACTCCACATAAAACGCATAGAGGAGGAGGATCATTAGTGATAGGATATTTGAGATTGCAGAATTTCATAAAGGGAGCTCTGTTGGGAATAACTTTGGCAAGGTTTGGATAGGTGTTAGTCACTGCTTAACATTTCAGTTGCTCTTTCAGCAATATCACTGAGGCATTCTGTTCATGCAGGGATGAATTTGGTTCTTGGCTGCTTCAAAATTCTTTATAAGAAGGATTTCTTCTGCACTGGAGATCCCTCACTTGCTTCTGTTCACTCCAGGCCTCAGAGTCATTTGAGTTAAATCTGGGAGCTTCCCTGTGACTGTACCTGGGAAGCAGTCTGGTGCAATGGGTAGGGTCTGGCAGTGCAAATGCTGCTGATGTGATTCTAATGCCCTGAGTCCTGTCCTAAACTACTTGGCCCAGCTACCAGGGTTTTGCTGGGCCCTCCCTTTGGCTTCAACATTGTCTTTATAGTTATTGAGACTGTAGTCTTTTGTAAATGTGGCTCTGTCATAGACTTGTACTCACCTCCTCATTTCTTGCCACTCTCCTGTGCAGTTTCAGGCAGCACATCCAGCAGCCCAGCAACCAGTCACCGCTCAGTTCCCTGTGGTATCCCAGGGAGGCTCTCAGCAACAGCTGATACAGAACTTCTACCAGCAGCAGCAACAGCAGCAGCAGCAGCTGACTCAGCAGACTGCCCTGCAGCAGAAGACTGCTGTGGTAGTACCACAGCCTCAGGCACAGTCGGCCACAGCCCCACAGCCAGCCGCTGCCCAGGAGCCCGCGGTAAGCTGGGGAAGGGAAGGGAAGAGATAGCTACAGCTCTAGGGGGCTCTGAGTTAGGGTAAGGATGCTCTCCTACCCTAGTTGTTAAAATACTTCATTTTTCTTGACAGATCCAAGTGTAAGGTGTTCTGTAGAAAGTAGAGATTGAAAGAATATTTTTAGACTATTTATAAAGAACCTTCTTATTTTTCATACTGAAGTTATGCTGGTGGAAAAAGTGGTTCTTTGTCTTGGTCAGTGCTACTGCTGAATAGCCAGGGACTTGGGAGCCGAGCTGGTCCCTGTTCCTTTTTCAGGGCCACTTTGGTTTGTTGTGCCCATCCCTGTTTCAGCAGGTTCAGGTAGTGTCTTAGTCAGTGTTCTATTGTTGTGAAGAGATGGTATGACCACATCAATTCTTATAAAAGAAAGCATTTAATTGGGGCTTGCTTGCGGTTTCAGAGGTTTAGTCCATTCTCACCATGGTGGACAGCATGGTTGCATGCAGGCAGACATGGTACTGGAAAAATAGCTGGGAGTTCTACATCTGTATCTGCAGGCATCAAGAAGAGACAGCCACTGAGCCTGGCTTGGGCTTTTGAAACCTCAAAGCCCACCCACAGTAACACACTTCCTCCAACAAGGCTGAACCTACTCTAACAAGTTCATACCTCCTAGTTTCTCTCAAGTAGTGCCACTCCCTGATGACCAGGCACTCAAATGTATGAAACCATTGGGGGCCATTCTTATTGAAACCACCACAGGTGGTCCCACCTTTACCCTAAATTCTGATACCATTTTGTTTGTTCTTCATCCTAAGTGACCTGCGAAGTACATTGCTTGAGTTTGCCTTTCAGTGATGTTCAAAGGCTCCTTGCCTGGGGCCATTTACCTCGACATAACCCCTATTCTTCAGAGCATCCTGAAACTGGAATCATTTGGTCAGTTTAGAGATTGAGTCTGTTTTAGATACTGACTGGATGTGGCAGCGGACCACTACTCTGACTGGCCTCTAGTTTCAGCAAACCTCAGACACTCTTGCCTATTTTTTTGTAAGTAATCTGTTGTCTTTGTTAGGATTTCCATTGCTGTGAAGAGATACCATGACCACAGCAACTCTTGTAAAGGAAACATTTATTTGGGGTGACTTGTTTACAAAAGTTCAGTCCATTATCATGGCAGGGAGCATGACACTGTGTAGGCAGAAGGCAACAGGAAGTCGACAGACAGTCACTCTGAGGGAAGCTTGAGCAAAAGAAACCTCAAAGCCCGCCCCCACAGTGACACATTTCCTCCAACAAGGCCACACCTCCTAATAGTTCCACTCCCTTTTGTAGGTGGAGTTTTTCTGTCCTACAGCATCTCTCAAATAATCATTCAGAGGCTTAATATTAATTACAAATGTTTGGCCAGTAGCTCACGATTATTACTAACTAGCTCTTACATTTTAAGTTAACCTACCGCCCAGCTGAAGATACTTCTTAAGAGGGTCTTGCCGGGCGGTGATGGCGCACTCCTTTAATCCCAGCACTAGGGAGGCAGAGCCAGGTGGATCTCTGTGAGTTCGAGGCCAGCCTGGGCTACCAAGTGAGTTCCAGGAAAAGGCACAAAGCTACACAGAGAAACCCTGTCTCGAAACCCCCTCCCCCCCCCCCCCCCAAAAAAAAAGAGGGTCTTCTCTGCTTTTCCCAGACAAAGAAAGTATTTACTGTCTTGGGAGTGGACCCTCAACCTTCTCATGTGTCCTAGATGAGCCAGCTCTGAGCTCTGTGCCCTGGGTGGTGGGTATAGGGACACAAGGTGGAAGCCAAGTGAAGTCTGTACAGGCATATGAAAAATACCCACAAGGGAGTCTTGACACAGCTGGCTGCTCCTGCAGAAGACTCAACTTCAGTTCCCAGCACCCCTGTTGGGCAACTCACAGCTATATGAAACTGAAGCTCCAAAAGTATCCCAATTTCTCAGGCACCTGAACTCTCTCTCGATCACACACACACACACACACATACACACACACACACACACACACACACACACACACACACACACACACACTTAAAGTACTTAAATAAAAAAGAAGACTCTGACAAAATAGATATCAGACTCCACCCTTTTACTTTCTATGGTGTACCCCTCCCTCCTGCCCCTTTAAAAAATTTTTAATTTAATATCTTTATTTTGAGACTGGGTCTCACTGTGTAGTCTAGGCTGGCTTGGAACTTGCTGTGTAGATCAGTTTGGCCCTGCATTCACAGAGATTTACCTGTCTCCACCTCCCAAGCACAGGCTAAAGGTATACTTCACTCACCATGTTTCTCGAATCTTCTGCCCCTTTCTAACCCTGTCTTTGGAAGAGGAGATATTGTGATGCAGAAGAGGCCCAGCTGTAGTCAGGTTCTATGGCCAAGTGGATTAAAGATCCTCTTCTCTCTCTGAAGTCGAGGTTCTGGGATTTGTTCTGTAAGATCTGTTTCTACTTGTTTTGATTTCCACTGTCCATAAAAACCTGCCCTGTGGGGTTGCTATCAGAGCATCTGGTGGATGGAGATACTATATATTATGGATTGAATGTTCCTTGTCCAAAATGCTTAGGACCAAAAAGTACCTGAGAGTTTGGCATACTTGTGACCATAAGGAGATATCTTGGGGTGAAATCCAAATCAACACACAGAATTAAATTATTTTATAGGCACTTGTACAGTGAAATAATTGTATATGGTATTGTGCCTTTTGGCTGTGACCTGCTACATGAAGTCAGATATAGAATTTTCCATGTGGTGTCATGTCAGTGCTCAAAAGTGTCAATTTTTGGAGCCTTAAGGATTTCAGGTTTTCAAATTAGAGATGATCAACTCTTGCTGTCTTGGGGATGTGGCTCAGTGGTCCATTGCTCACCTGTCAGAGGAGGAATCCTCCCCCTGGAGCATCTGTTATGTGTGCTGCATTTGTAGGATAGGTAAGAAAAGAGACAGTGTTCTCGAAATAGTGTGGATGCTTCTTCACAGAGTCCATTGTAACTGTGAAGTACCCTTTCTGGTGAGATAAGCCAGTCCACAGCTGACTGTGGATACTGGCGTTCAGAAGGCCTTTCTGATGGAGCTCTGGGCCTCCAAAGGAAGATGCAGTGTCAGTGCTCTGATCTTTACAGAGCTCTCTGCTCCGTGGTAGGCTGTCACCCTTCCTGGCGTAGTTTGGTTGACAGTAGAACTGTATAGTTGTTTTGTCATTCATCTTGTTGATGGGGTGGTTGGCATACAGACACAGGCAGATAGTGTGTCTCAAAAAACATCCCAACTCCTAAGGACAACATAAGGACACTCTCCCCTGCTGTAAGCATCCTAAGCCATTGAGATTTATGTCATGATTTCATAAATTCTTGATGTCTGTCTTCATAGACACAACAGGCACTGAGCTTCAGTGTGGAGAGGCAGCTCTCACTTGAGTGGAGGGACTGGAGGGAAGGGATAGTTAAGTCCCTGAGGCACTCAGTATCCAGACTTTTTATTTCCAGATTGGCAGAACTAAGGAAAGGGCTTAGGTGGCTTTCTGAATGCTTTTAAAATTATTTTGCTTGATACAGGTAGTCTGTGCTAAGGACCACTTACATGGCCACAGCTACATTCCTACTTGTTTATTGTTCTGTGGACCTCTTCTCAAGAGTCCTTCTATTAGTCTAGTTATCATTAAGGTCTTTCCTCTGTCTCACTGTATTTTCCACTGATCTTCAGTGCCATTTCTCAAGGAAAATTGGAGCAAGTAAATCCTACTAAACCAGTGTTGCACTTTTGCTGTCGGGTTGAAACAGAAAAATTAGGTTCTTGTGGATCCATCCCATCAGTGAAAAGAAGGCCTTTAACAACATAAACAAGAGCTCCCATGTTTCAGTCACACTGGGTTTGTCTGATTCATTCTTCTTAGGGTAGGAGGGAGTGCACTACTCTCAGCAGAAGCTCTCATGCTCCAAAGCATCTTGGCTGGAGTATATCTTCTCTTCTAGCTGTAATAGAAGGTAGAATCTATTGCCTGCCCCATGGAAGCATTCCTGATGAGGTGCTGTTTGTCCTCAGAAGTAGAAGGGGGCCCTTTAAGGTACCTTCTAGGTCTTTAGGGTTGGGAATAGCTTCTGTAGTCTTAGGCTGGTAGTTCTATTACATCTGGTTGACTTGTATATTGAAGCTAATGGAAACTGAATGTGTGTAAGAACCAGGCACTTCCTTGGTGATATCAGTCTCCGATGCAGCTCAGATGGTTGGTGCCTTGATTTTCTTTCTGGTGCTGTTGATAACCTTGGCCATTCAAATCTTTTATGAGCAAATGAGGTGTTAAGTACTTGGTTATTGATTTGTTTTTGTTTTCTATTTTCTCCTTCTCTTTTTCTTTTTTGTTTGTTCATAATGAAGCTTTGCATTTCTCTCTCCTTAGCAGATTCAAGCTCCACCAAGACAACAGCCAAAGGTTCAGACAACTCCACCTCCAACCACCCAGGGTCAGAAAGTTGGATCTCTCACTCCTCCATCATCCCCCAAAACCCAACGTGCTGGGCACAGGCGGATTCTCAGTGATGTAACCCACAGTGCAGTCTTTGGGGTTCCTGCCAGCAAATCAACCCAGCTGCTCCAGGCAGCTGCAGCTGAGGCCAGTCTCAATAAATCTAAGTATGTTTGTTCTTCCCAGGTGGGCAAGGTCTGCTGTGGGTTACTATTGTATGATTCTTTGCATAAGCTTGTGGAGGTATGGTAGTATACTTGTGCCAGTGCATATCTGTATTTAGTAAGATTGTGAACTTGCCCACTATGTGTGCACTGTACAGTTCTGTCTTTTCAGTTTCCTTTCTCCCATCTGTTCTCTGCTCTGTAGAGTGTTTTCTAAACCCTTTGACCAAGTCTTCCTGTACTGACAATTCCTCATTGGACCCCCAGTATTTGGAGGGTGGCTACCTTAGCAAGTACTGTCTACACAGGTGACTTGACTCGTCTTTGGAGCTGCTGCTCCCCCCTCCCATAGAGGATGTGCTTTGACTCTTTAGCTCCATGTCAGGCTTCATTCGTTCCTCTCATGCAGTATTTTGTCTAGGGACTTTTTTTTTTTAAGTGTTTTATCATGAATTATTTGTGTATCTGGCCAACCTGGTTTGTGAGTTCCAAAGACAGAGACTTGCTAACTTTCATGAACCTGGTAGGCTTGCTGGGTCTGTGCTTTGCATAAAGTCAGTCTTGGTGACCATTGTTAAGTCAGTGTAATTTTAGACTCTTAGCCTCCTTGAAACCCTGCACTCTAAAGTTAAACATATTTAAGTCAAGAGAGACTCAAGGAAAAGTAGGTATCTAGGTGTACAAAGGTGGTGGTAACTATTTCTCTGTGTGATAGAGTGAATCTACCACTGAACAACATTCTGAACATGTGATGAGAGCTTAGTACTGGACACACCGGATCCTGAAAGGTCAGAGGCAGCTAAGATAGGCCTGGGATTCAGTCCTGATATGTGGGCCTCAGAATAAGTTGCTGTAGATCCTAACCTGAAGGGCCTTGCAGGAGACAGGCAAGCTGCAGGATTTCATGAGAGCTTAAGTGAAGGAGACAGCATTTATAAAGACTAAACTTTTCAGTGTCTATGGGAAGTCCTCTATGGAAACACTGTGGAAAATGATGGTTTGATTGAGAAAAGAATTGATACCATAATGAAGAGAAAATTGTTTGGGCCCTTCTTGTGTTTTTATATTTGCTTTTCTCTAACCCTTGGGGGAACCTTTCCTAGGTCTGCAACCACCACTCCCTCAGGCTCTCCACGGACCTCGCAGCAGAATGTCTCCAGTGCTTCCGAAGGTTCAACATGGAATCCTTTTGATGATGACAACTTCTCCAAACTCACAGCTGAAGAGCTGCTCAACAAAGACTTTGCCAAGCTCGGGGAAGGTGAGCAGGCTGAGTCTTTTCTGTCCTTGGTTATAAGTCAGCTGAGAATAAACTTGAGTGTGTCGTGTCTTAGCTGGAGAGGGACATTCTTGGGAAAGGTCAGCATGGACCTGTCTTGAAAGAAGAATTGGTTTGGGGGTTTGCATACTGATTTTCATTTTCATTTTTGCCAGAGCACTAATTTTTTCTTTCAAAAGTGCTGACCAACTGTGAGAGGCAGCAGGGACTGTGTGAGTGTAGAGGAGAAACTTTGAAAAGATTTAGTGGTCTAAACTGGGACAGTTACATCAAGCTGAATGATTGCTTGGAGAAATGTAAATGTCGCATTCATCCTCAGTGGCCTTGCCCTAGAATGAGAAGCTGAGGACATGCCTCACAGGATGCTGGGTCCTGGTCACAGTCTATGTGTTGTTGACTGACCATAGAAAGGAGATGCTTTAAATACAAGACATAGTTCTATCCAAAATAGCCATAGCCAGGCACAGGCACATCCACACAGACCCAGACAGACATATACATACCACACAGATACCTGGGAAATCTCTCCAATGTTGAGTTGGAGAAAAACACCTTTCGTGTACTCAGCACAGAGCAAAAGAATGAGCAGAGCCGGTGAATGATAGGAACTGATTCACTTTTCAGCAGTGTTTTAAAAACATACTTTCAGCCGGGCGGTGGTGGCGCACGCCTTTAATCCCAGCACTCGGGAGGCAGAGCCAGGCGGATCTCTGTGAGTTCGAGGCCAGCCTGGGCTACCAAGGGAGTTCCAGGAGTGGCGCAAAGCTACACAGAGAAACCCTGTCTCGAAAAACCAAAAAAAACAAAAACAAAAACAAAAAACAAAAACATACTTTCTACCATTTTATTTGATTTCATTTTGAGACAGTATCTCACTATGTAGCCTGGCTGGTCTGGAACTCCCTGTGTAGGCCAGGCTGGCCTTAAATTCACAAAGATCCACTTGCTCCTCTGCCTTCTGAGTGCTGGGATTAAAGTTGTGGACCACCATGCCTGGCTAGTTCAGCCTTTTTTTTGTTTTTGTTTTTGTTTTTGTTTTTCGAGACAGGGTTTCTCTGTGTAGCTTTGCGCCTTTCCTGGATCTCACTTGGTAGTCCAGGCTGGCCTCGAACTCTAGTTCAGACTTTTAAATAGAAGACTGGGAGTAGGATTTGACTTTCTTTGACAAGTCCTTTTCATTGTTATCTCTGCCACTTCTTATTCTGTGCTGTAAATAGACATTTCTTCCTGCATTATTGACAATTAGTATGTTTGTGTCTAATTAATGAGCCATTGGGTTCTTTTTTTAAGATTTTATTTTATCTTTAAATTATCTGTATGTGTGTCCATATGTGTCTGTATGCATGTGAGTGCAGGCCCACAGAAGCCAGATACATCATATCTCCCAGGAGCTTGAATTACAGGCAGTTGTGAGCTGCCTGATATAGGTGCTGGGAATTATCTTTGGTACTCTGGAAGCACAAGAGTTTGCACTCTGAAGTGATGAACCACCTCATCTCTCCAGCCCTGCCCCAGAGGGTTTTTTGTTTGATTTTGATTTTTTTAAAAAGATTTATTTATTTATTATGTATACAGCATGTATGACTGCAGGCCAGAAGAGGGCACCAGATCTTATTACAGATGGTTGTGAGCCACCATGTAGTTGCTAGGAATTGAACTCAGGACCTCTGGAAGAGCAGTCAGTGCTCTTAACCTCTGAGCCATCTCTCCAGCCCCTGATTTTGATTTTTTAATTTTGGGTCTATTGCTGTTGTCTCACTGTCAGCTTTCATGCAACCCTACTGTTAGACCTGTCTTCATAGCATCTCCCCACTTCCTTCCCTGCACTCCCTCTTAGTTCTCAAACTGCTTCCAGCTCGGAACATGGTCTTTGAACATCAGCACAGACAAGGACTTTTTGGTGGTAAAGATGTTGCCATAACTGTGGAAAGAAGAGTCCAGTCAGATAGTGTTCTTCACTTCACTGTGTGTCTGTGCACCTCAGGATTCTGCAAGGATGAACCAAGTGGTATTTTGTCCCTCTAGGAAAGCTTCCTGAGAAGCTGGGTGGCTCGGCGGAGAGTTTGATCCCAGGCTTCCAGTCAACACAAGGAGATGCTTTTGCCACTTCCTCCTTTTCTGCTGGAACTGGTGAGTGTGACACATGCCTGAGGCTCACTGTTGTTACCTTCAGGTTTCCTCTTCACAGATAGCTCTAGCACATAAAGAACCCAGTTTTTGGTAGTAACTCATTCCTTTCCTTCATTCAGTAGTTTTCCAGTCAAAAACATTTAAGGACCATCTAAAAATCACTTTGAACTCAAGTAGTGGAGTGATCTGGCAAATATACAGGAGTTGCTCTCCCTAGTTCAGGATGTGTCTTATGCAGATATTTCTAATTTAAGGATCAGTGCTCTGGCAAGGTTTTGTCATTGCTTAGGGTCTTTGGGATGATTTGAAGGATTCGAAGAATTAGAAACTGTCTTATACTTGATATTCTACCAATATGTGCATGTGCATTTTTAAAAATTAAATCAATGACTTGTTTTCCCCATTATTAGTAAAAATTATCCATACTTCTTATATAAAAGTTATAGATTTGTATAGAAACAATCCAAATCATCCATGCTCTCATCACCTAGACATAGCATAGTGACTTCATCTTGATGTATCCTTAGCCACTGTTCTATTGCTGTGAAGAGACAACTCATTAAAAAAAGGCATTTAATTGGAGGCTTGCGTACAGTTTTATAGGGTTAATCTATGATCATCATGGTGGGAAGCAGACAGGCATGTTGCTGAAGCAGTAGCTGAATGCTTTACATCCTGATCTGCAAGCAGCTGGCAGAGAAACACTGGTCCTGATGTGGGCTTTTGAAACTTCAAAGTCCACCACTAATGACACATCTTCTTCAAAAAGGCCACACCTTTTAGTCCTTCCCAAACAGTTCCACTAACTGGAGCATTCAAATATATGTGCCTCTAGGGGCCAATTCTCATTCAAACCACCACAATGTGCAGTCTTTAAGTTTTTTAGGGTCAAAGACATCTTTGTGAATCTAATGAAATTTATAGATTTTCCTCACCAAAATACATGTGATAATAATTTTGTACAATTTTAGGTTTTGTTTTAAGATTGTGACTCTGTTATGTCCATCTGTATATTTGAAAACTTGTTTGTTTCTTCACTTAATAAGACTGGCATGGGCTAGTGAGGTGGCTCAGTGGATAAAGGCACTTATCATCAAGCCTGACCACCTGAGTTTGAGCCTCAAAACCCACATGGTGGTAGGTGCCTCCTAAGCCCCTGTACCCTTGATACACTTTCTGTACTGGGTGGTTTTGTATGTCAACTTGACACAAGCTATAGAGTAATCAGAGGAAGGAACCTCAGCTGAGGAAATGCCTCTTTGAGATCCAGCTGTAAGGCATTTTCTCATTTAGTGACCAGTGGGGGAGGGCCTTTCCACCTCAATTATACAATAAAGATATTCCTTCACAGACATTCTCTGATGCCCATCTCCCAGGTGATTTTAGATTATGGCAAGTTGACAGTTAACTGTAACCTTTGTGGAGCTTTGGAGGACATCTCAAATCCAAACTTTAGCAGGGTGCAAGGGAAAAGCAAATAGTTCAAGTCCTAGTGTTGTACAGCGTGGGTGATGCTATGCTGCTGTTACAGAAGTGTGCTTGATGCAGAAACTGGGGCAGAGCTCATACTCTGCCTGCAGCAACTTCCTGTGAGTCTGTACAGTTTTCAGTTTTCTTTGTTGTTGTTGGGTTTTTCCTTCCTTCCTTCCTTCCTTCCTTCCTTCCTTCCTTCCTTCCTTCCTTCCTTCCTTCCTTCTCCCTCCCTCCCTCCCTCCCTCCCTCCCTCCCTTTCTCCCTCCCTCCCCCTCTCTCCTCTCCCCTTTCCTCCCCTCCCCTCTTTTCTTTTGACAAAGTCTCATTATGTACATAGACCAGGCTGGCCTCAAACTGGTGATCTTTTTGCCTCAGTTTCTAGAACGCTTTGCATACAATGTATATCACCATACCTGGCTTTCAAATTATAAAAATAAAAATGGGATTTTAATTAACAACCAAATTGATTACTGAAGTGAAATGTAGTGAATTGTAAAGAATGCTAAAGCAGAAACCAAGAGACCCAGGTTCTGACGCTTGCTTTGTAGGCAGACCACTAGATTGTCTCTCAGTTTGGGTCTTTGTTTTCTTTGCAAAAAAAAAAAAAAAGAAGAAAATAGTAGTAGAAATTTCCAGGGCTTTAAAGGTTTTAAGCCCTGATATGCTATAAGATACTTAGGTTTCTGGAACTCTATAGTTTACTGAATACAGCATGAATAGCAATAGTATCAGGTAGGAACCAGAAGCTGGGGCTTATCCATCCCATAGTGTTGCACAGCACCTGTTACACATTGTAGTGGTGCAGTAAGACTCATAAGAAGTACCTGGAGGGCATGCAGGGTGTTGAGGGAGGTACACAGGAAGATAAACACATATTGACATTATGTGCCAAAGTGTGTGTGGAGTAGACAGTAATTTCTACAGACTGAATCACTGAGCAGAGATTCGTGGGGTGGCAGACACTAAGAAAAAAGGCAAGTTCAAACAATGCCTGTCCTGCTCTGGCTCCACTGCATCTCAGGGTGTGTTACAGGACCCCTTGCTGTGTCTTATAGGTGTTTTGCTATTAGTTGAGTTATTTCCGTTCACCCCCTCCTTTCTGTCTAAATTTGGATTTTCTCTGCTATTTGAGCTCTTGTATGAATAGATGGTAAATGCATCAATATTTACTTGATATTTTCTGCTTTTCTCATTTTTCTCTCCCTATCTTTCCTCTCCAACTAACTCCAGCTGAAAAAAGGAAGGGTGGGCAGGCTGTGGACTCTGGCATCCCACTTCTAAGTGTATCTGATCCTTTTATTCCTCTTCAAGTACCTGATGCTCCAGGTAGGTACATAGGACTCATTTTAGGGTTAGCAGCTTGAGTCTTATATCCCAGGACTTCCAGGGCCTCTGGAGAGTTCTGCTTTAAGTGCTTGATGACAAGGACCTGAATTCCAAGTCCTAATAATTGGTTGCTGTTAAGTTTCTTAGTAAGTTTTTTAGTAAGATAGACAAACTTATTTTGGAGGGTACTAACTCTTACAAAGATAATAAACATCACCTCAGGTTATACCACTTGTGCTCTGAATCATATCAGTGTTCTTTTTTTCACCCTGTTTAATAAAATTGTTGTTAGTATATTTTGGGGGGAGTAGAAACAAGGTTTTCATTGAGGCCAAGCTGGCCTCTACCTTGCTGTGTAGTCAAGGATGACCTTTAACTATTGATCTTCCTTCTTTTACCTCCCAGGTACCCAGATTACAGGCATATACCACCACATCTGGTTTGTGTTTGATAATTTGGAGAGGCCTATGTATTGGAAAGAACATTAGTCTAATATGATTTTAATATAGTAATAGAAGCCGTAAGCATATGATAAAAAGAGTGGTACATAATGGCCAGGTGTGATGATAGAGCTGTGGTGACCCATTTGGTTCCTCTTTGCTGTCAGCACTTTATTACTTTATAATATAGTAATATATAATAAAAAATAATATATAATGAAAGTCGATATGGAATATAAGTCAGGAGACCTAAGGTTCCCTACCAGGTTCTGTCATTAACTGAACCCTCTGGGCCAGACTCCTCATCAGTGAAGGAAGTGACTACTGGAGTTCCATTATCTTTTCTCTGTACCCTATTACTGATTCTTAGGAAGCAGCTAGAAAGTGAAGCTGGTTAGTTTCCATGACTTCTGAAATGATGAGTGGATGCACTCATCTGGACTTGGTGGATGCTAAAGGCTGCTTCTTGTTCCCTTCCCCATATCTTTTTCAGGGGGCAGAGTTGTGGGTGGTGTGAGGTCTCCTTTTGTGGAAAAGCAGGTAAATCCAACTCCTTAGAAGCATCTGGCAGTAGTTTTGCATCATTCCCCTCACTTGCCCCCAGTTCTTAGTCGTTCCGAGTCTTGACCTTGCACTGACAGAATCAGCTTAGTTTTTCTTTTCTCCCAGAAGTCAAAGATCTTTGATTAGTTCTTCAAGATTGAGAGGGAGGGCCTGAAGAGATGGCTCTGTAGCCAAGCCACTTGCTTTTCTTCCAGAGGATCCACATCACCCTTGTCTGCAATCTTAAAACTGCCTGTGACTTCAGCTCCAGGGGATCCAACCCTCCTTTGGTCTCTTTGGGCACGCCCACTAATTTGCATGTACCCACACAGACACAGATACTACATATATATGGATAAAAAGAACAATTAGAATTTGGAAGGGATTGGGCTGCTCAGCGCATATCTTTTCCTTACTGGACAAACCACAGCTAGGGTGCAGAGACAGTTTTTGTTCTTTAGTGCTCAGTTGACCCCTCCGGTTCCCTGCCTCAGGTAGGCATGACCATGGCAAGTTGGGTCATATGAGTAATAGCAGAGTAATAGCACTACTTGCCTGGCCTAAATACAGCTCAAATGTACCAGAAATCACTGGAGAATGGTTCTGTGGAAGTTGATTAATGAAAGGGGTCAATTAGATCTCTTCTCTTCTCTTTCAGTGTGCCTAGCAATGTCCAGATGAATTCATTTTGAGCAGATTTGCAAAGGTGTGGACTTTTCTTCTTTGCTGTGGTTGGCATAGCATGAAACAAGAGCAAAGGTTATAGAGACATTCTTCCCCTGGTATACATTGGATTTTTGCATTGCAGTTGATTTGAAAACCCAGGGCCTACAGAAGCTAGTTTTTTGCTCAGGGCCGAGAATGAAGGTACTAGATGGTGGCTACTCTCCACAGCTGCCACAGGAGCCCTTTGGATTGCGATTGCAGAGCCAGGGATATAATGGTAGCTTGGAAAATTCCTGAAGGTTTTGAAGATGCTTATCGCCTCATTCTCTATACTTCTTTTCATCCTGGAAGAGTCCTGGAAAGTTTTAGTGGCATATACTCTAATACCAAGTGTCTTAGAGGTTCTATTGCTATGAAGAGACACCATGACCACGGCAATTCTTATGAAGGAAAACATTCAATTGGGGCTTGTTTACAGTTCAGAGGTTTAGTCCATTATCATCATGGTAGGAAGCATGGCAACACACAGGCAGACATGGTACTGGAGAGGTAGCTGAGAGTTCTACATCTTGATTGTCAGGCAACAGGAAAAGAGAGCTGCACTGGGCCTGACTTGAGCATTTGAAACCTCAAAGCCCACCCTCAGTGACATACTTCCTCCAACAGTGCTACACCTACTCCATCAAGGCCACACTTCCTAGTAATGCCACTCCTTATGGGCCTATGGGGCCATTTTCATTCAAACCACCACACCAAATAAGCTGTCATCTCTCTTGGATTGTAGTGGACAATTCTATTCATATGAGACATTTTAATAGATAATTTCCAGGGTTTTGTTTTTTGATCTGTTTGGCCAGTTTCATCTGCTAAAAATGTAAAATGAATTCCTCCATCATTGAATACAAAATCCAGACTTCTGTGACCAAGGCCCTAACTGATGTGGCCTTCAGCTTTCCCTGTAACATCACTCACAGCTCTCCCTTTAAGTTGTACCTTTCTTTCAACACGTTAAACTCATTTCCACCTTGGGGCCTTAGCACTTACCAATGTTCTCTTAACACCTGGAAAGCATCCCCTTCAGCTCTGTTCCTGTGTCTAAGCTTCTATGCCATCTTGTCAGAAAGGCCCTCTGTGGTCTCACAGGCATTCTCAGTCATACCTCATGGCTGTTATCCTCATGACACTTGTTAGAACGTCTGGTTTACTTTGTTCACGGTCCATATGCTTCAGCACCTAATTGTCAGTGGCAGGGCCACTGTCTTGCATAGTGGCACTCTTAACTATTTGGCAGGTCAGATGGATGGATAAAATTAACTTGAGGCTCTTAGCCTCCATTCCTGTTCCCACCTCCTAGACAGTAGATTGATGTTCACAGCCTGCCCCCACCTGTGCCTGTGAGAACCCTGACCATCCACCCATGCTGAAAGAGAATTAAGAAGGCACAGCTCATGGTACCAGCAAGTTCCCATACCCTGGTGAAAGAAATGGTGAGGCTCAGCAGACCCTCAGCTCCATCTATCCTTCCTGCTCTCCAGTAGCACATCTAGTTACCTCATTCTTCATCAAGGCCCTCCTTTAGCAATTGAAGTGTGCGGTGCACTCATGTTCAGTGTCTGTCACCTGAACCAACTGCAGGTGCTTGTTGTTGGCTACACCTCCAGCCCACTTTAGACACCAGGCCTGCTGGGGAGTTGCGGGGCAGGGCGGGGGGGGGGGGGGTTGCTTATCTTTCACAGTTATTAGTCCCTGTGGTAAGAATCTAGGAATCTGGGCTGGAGAGATGGCTGAGTGGTTAAGAGCACTGTCTGCTCTTCCAGAGGTCAGAGATCCTGAGTTCAGTTCCCAGCAACCACATGGTGGCTCACAACCATCTATAATTCCATCTGGTGCCCTCATCTGACCTGTAGGCATACATGTAGACAGAATACTGTATACATAATAAATAAATAAATATTTTTTTAAAAAAGAACCTAGGAATCTTAGTGGATAGAGGCTATGCCTTTTGAGTGACTTTCCTTCTAAAATGTTTCAACATGTAATCTATAATCCTCCTTGATCTTATAGATCTCCTGAGTGGTGAGTGGTAGTGACGTCAAGTCAAGTCCTTCCCTGTGAGGCAGTAAGTGAGACCTTCCTCTTCCTTGTCAAATCCCCCAAGTCATAGGCATTGCTTTTGTCCTTGGGTTTTGTAACTTGGGATCAGGGAAGCCTTTGACTAAAGATGTCAGTTAGGGAGTTATAAGAGTGGATTTGAGCTTAAAAGCCTGGGTTATTACCATGCCCGAGTAGTACTAGATGACTGTGATCTGATCACTTGAATTCAGTCTCTATATCCTAGAAGCTTAAAATAGTAACATTTCCTTTGGAAATAGGAAAGAAGGTCTATTGAAACTGTATTTGGAATTGCTGTGTAACTTCAGCTTACTGTAAAGATGAGAAATGCTATTCTGACCTCAATTTTAGGTCTGGAATGCCAATGGGGCAAGCTAGTTATGAAGTCATGTTTTTCTCTTGCTTACTTTTGTAACCTTTAACGTTCACTCAACTGAGAGCCACTGAAATAGACTTCCTTGTTATGAATTGTCAGGCCGTGGGTCAAAGGACATTAGAGAATTGTGGTTTGCTTGTAGGATTTCTTTTATTTTCCAAAGTACCCATCTTAGTTAGGGTTTTTATTGCTGTGAAGAGACAGCATGACCATGGCAACTCTAATAAAGGAAAACATTTAATTGAGGTGGCTCACTTACAGTTCAGAGGTGTAGTCCATTATCATCATGGTGGGAAGCAAGGCAGTGTGCAGGCCGACATGGTGCTGGAGAAGGAGCTGAGAGTTCTTACATCTTGACTCACAGGCAACAGGAAGTGGTCTGAGGCGCTAGACATAGCTTGAGCATATATGAGACCTCAAAGCCTGCCTCCACAGTGACACACTTCCTCCAACAAGGCCATATCTACTTCAACAAAGTCACACCTCTTAATAGTATCACTTCCTTTGGGCACTATTTTTTTCCAAACCATCACAGTACCATAAAACACATTTTAAAGAGTCACGGTCATCTGTGAGTTTACCCAGCTGTCACATGGCTTGTGACCCTCACAGTGCCTCACTGATGCTCGGGTACTACTGCCCATCTATTAGGGAAGATTTGAGTATAGATGGTTCAGAGTCTAAATACCATGAAAGAGAATATTTTTCCCTGAAAATAGGTGAACAGATTTTTAATTAGTTGTTTTTTCCACCACTTTACTTTTAAATTTAGGTAAAAATTTCCAGTGTTTTAGTGTATAGTTCAGTAGCATTAAGCACATTTACATTTTTTGGCTGTTCCCTCACATTCTTTTTCTACTTGAATGACTGAGGGCCTGTGTCCCCTGAGCAGTGATTTACAGTGATCCCTCTGTTGCAGCATACTGCTCTACTTTCCATCTATGGGTTTGACAGCTCTAGGAATCCCATAAAAGGAGAACCCTACAGTATTTGAACTTTTGTGGCTTACTTTCACTTTTCACAATCACAGTTTAACCGTGTTGTGTATATGAGAATTTCCTTTTTTTTTTTTTTTTTTCTTTCTTTGTTTATTCAAGACAGGATTTCTCTGTGTAGCCCTGGCTGTCCTGGAACTCGCTCTGTAGACCGGGCTGGCCTCAAATTCACAATTTCCTTCATTTTTAAAGTTAGTGTTCCACTGTGTGGAAGACCACATGCTGCTTGTCCAGTTTTCCTTTGATGGACACTGGGGCTACTTCTCTCTGTGAATGATGCTGCTGTGAACATCAGCAGGTATCTCTTTGCGACCATGCTTTCTTCTTTTTGCCGGGTTATATGGTAAGTCTGTTTCTAAGTTTTGAGAAACTGTCACACTGTCTTTCAGAGAGACTTGTGCCATTCCTTTTACATACTTTCCTGCAGTGCACAAAGGTTTGGGAAAACAATTTTGACAATTTCTCTTCAACTCTGAGCTCTTGATCCCAGAGCTCTACAAGACCAGAGGAGTACATGTTAGCTGCCCCACAAGTGCTACTTCACAGAGTTGGAGGACTTTTGAAAGTCCTTCTTAGTTGTTTGGCCCTCCATCATCTTCTTGAAAAAGACAGGCAAGTGGAGCTGGGTGTCAGAATGGGCAGTCTTCGTCCTTTTGGCCTTATGTTGTCTTCATTTCCAACTCCTGCCTTGTGATATTGACAAGCTCAAGGCCATTCATTCTAAGTGCCTTATTTTAGAAGCAGTCTTCCTACAGTTGTAATTCTCTAAGTGGAATTCGAATGGGCTTCTGACTCGATGATGCTGCAGGCAATTTACTGTCTGTTCTCTCAGAAATTATTTAGAGTGACTAGATTTTATTTTCTATTTTTATTTTGGTTTGGTATTTTTTGTTTTTGGTTTTTTTTTTGTTTGTTTGTTTGTTTGTTTTTTTTTTGAGGCAGATTTCTGTAACCCAAACTGGCCTTGAATTTTTGAGCCTCCTGCCTCTACTTCCCAAGTGCTGAGCCTACAGGCATGCATCAGCATGCCTGGCTCTATTTTTAGTCTGAATTGGTGGATAGTAGTCACATTTATTGACTGGGTTCAGCATGACATTTCAGTTCATTTATACAGTGTGTAGTGATTGCATCAGGATAGTTGGTGTTTCATTTCATAGAGTGACTAAAATCTAAAAACAGCATTTCTTATTATAAGTCTTATTTGTTTGCTCCATGTCCAACAAGTCACACATTTCAAAAGCCACAAAGCTGTATTAATTACTTTGTTGTTGCTGTGATAAAACATCATGACCAAGGCAACGTATAGAAGAAAGAGCTTATTTTGTGCTTACAGTTCCAGAGGGTCATAGTCCATCACTGTTAAGGCAGGGAAGCATGGCAGCAAGCAGGCATGACAACTAGAACTAGACACTGAGAGCTGGGGATTCACATCTCAAACCACAGACGGGAAGCAGAGCAAATGGTAAGAGTCTTTTGAAACCTCCAAGACCATCCCCAGTGACATATTTCCTCCAACAAGACCACCTCTCCTAAGCATGCCCAAACAGCTACCAATTGGGGACCACGTATACAAATGTTGGAGATGTGGGGAACAATTCAATCAAACCACTCACTATAGCTGCCATATCATTTTTTTAACTGAGATTCATAATAACCTATCTTTTGAGCATGTTTGGTAGGTTAGTATGTTCCGATCTTCAGGTTTATATTGAAACAGTCAGAATCTTCATTTGACACAGAGTCTCCCATGTAGTCCTGCCTGGCCTGGGGCTCTTCAAAACCACACTGGCCTTAAACTGACAGTTTCCCTCTCAAGTGCTCTGGTCAGAGTGCTAGGGTCGTGGGTGTGACTGCCACACCAGCTGCCCTAGTCAGGGTTCTATTGCTGTGAAGAGACATAATGACCACAGCAACTCTTATAAAGGAAAACATTAAATTGAGGCTAGCTTACAGTTTCAGAAGTTTAATCCATTATCATCATGATGGGAAGCATGATAGCGTACAGACATGATGCTGGAGAAGGAGCTGATAGTTCTACATCTTGATCTGCAGGCAGCCAGAGTCTGTACTATACTGATCATAGCTTGAGCATAGGAGACCTCAAAGCATATCCCCACAGTGACACACTTCCTCCAACAAGGCCACACCCACTCTAACAAAGCCACACCTCCTAATAGTGTCACTTCCTATGGGGGCCATTTTCTTTCAAACCACTACACCAGCTTCCTCTGCCTCCCGAGTGCTGGGATTAAAGGCATGCAGCACCGCCACCTGGCTTCTTTTAATTTTTTTTTTTAAAGGAAAAGATCACAAATCATAAAATATCCCAGCCTCATGTTAGGAAGCTGTTTTGATTATGTAACTTAGACTGGTTTGTGAAGGATTTATTACCTCCTTGTGTTGTGAGGGTACCTGGTGCCTGAGTGAGGACCCTCACTCATAGTGAGAGTCCTGGGGAATGCAGCAGCCCTTCTGTGCACACCTAGTACAGAAGGTGGTCTGTGCTCTCATGTCTGCTTTTATGCATGGTGTTGTTCTGCCCCTTCTGACTCTCACATTGCTAACATCTGAGTACTCCCACACAGCAATGACCATGCAAATTATCTGTGTTTATAGCCTGCATTTTCAGGTTTGGTCAGAAAACAAGACTCCTGAAAATTAGCAGTTTGTCCCATCCTACCCTTTTATATTTCATCAGAAAACCTGAATATACACCTCTTCCCCCTGCTTCCCAGGGTTTCTCTGTGTAGCCCTGACTGTTCTGGAACTCACTCTGTAGACCAGACTGGCTTCAAACTCAGAGATCCACTTGCCTCTGACTCCTGAGTGCTAGGATTAAAGGCATGTGCCACCACTGCCCAGTCACACATATATTTTTTACCTTAAAATATACTTTTCTAAATTCTAGTAAGAAACTTGGAGTGTTGGAGTTTGGGTAGAAGTGGAGGCACATGTGTCATGGTGCATTCTGTGGAGGCCGGAGGATGGCTGAAAGGAGTCGGTTCTCTCATTCTGCCATGTGGCTTGTCATCAGATTTGAAGGTGTTATGCCCAGATCACGGGGACCCCAAAAAGACCATCACAGAGACCCAATCCCATATGTAAAGGCAAAGAGCCTTTATTCAAGCCCGAGGGGTGGGTTTTTTATCATAACAGAGGTTGGGGTGAGGGTATTTCCAGGGTTCAGGACCCTGATTGGCTGACATTTGTCAAGGGGTATCTGTAAAAGGGGAATAGGTATGTGCTAGACTCTGGGACATCTGGAGATCTTATCTAATCTTAACGGTTGGAATATTTGGGATGTCAGGTACTTCTCCTTAGATGCTGGCCCATCCTTGGGTGGAGTCAGCTTATGGACTTTCCTGGATCCGAGTATTGCCTGCCAATAAACCTGTCAGAGAAGCTGTGTCTGGACCCCTAAGCTGTGTGGTCAGGCTGTGTTGGGCCCCCCCGCAAAGGCAGATGCCCTTACCTGCTGAGCCATCTGACCAGCCCAAATTAAATGGAAAATTTTTGTTTTTGTTTTGTTTTTTTAAATGGAAGGGTTTTTTAGGGGTAGGGTGGGGGAATAAGCCCCAAACTACTGTTCCAAATAAAGGAATGTTAATTTTTTTCTATAAATCATCTATTTTAACT